AATTTGATAAAAGCAATATGATAATGATAATGATAATGATAATGGAAATAACAGGAAGTGTTTTGTTTGTTATTTTCAAAATTTCTCAATTCATTCATTTCAAGCATTGCAGTACTGATAACAAAGGCAAAGTAAAACAAACAAAAAGCAAATGCATTCATTGCAGCAATACAATTAATTATGTATAAAAGAATTTTGTATAGTGTTAAGTGATAGTAAAATATGCAAAATAATTCTAATTTCTCTTGGTAAAACTTCAATTTGTTATTTATCTCAACTTCAGAGATATTACCTTGATCTGTTGGTCATAAGTTAAAGTTCAAATTAAGTCTCAGAAGACGCTGATGCCATTGTTGAATTGATAAGTTCGGCTGATGAAAGAGTTCTTTCTCCCTTTTGTTTTTATTAGATGTGAATATATGAATTTGTCACTATACGTGTGTGTATGTGTATGTATGTATGTATGTGTGTGTGTGTGTGTGTGTGTATGTGTGTGTGTGCGGAGTTTATTGTAATTGACACCTCCCTCTCTTCCAATTTTCTTTTAATTTAAAAGTTAAAAACTTTTTGTTATTGCGGCCGGCATTAGATAACAAATTAGATCGCTTTGGCGATTGCCTTCTAAGATTACGGACGGCCACTGTCTCCAACTTGTCAACTAACCCTCAAATTACGAGAACAATTTTATGATTATTCTTCTTAAAATAGTCACTTCTTACTTCTATCCATTTAATAACAATGCTGCTACTACTTAATTTCACAACTTCTTTTTCAACTAATCATTTCAATTGACAATGAGATTTGATTGTCACTAACTTAGTGTCAGAAATAAACAATCCGTCATGTTTGTCTTCATCCATTTATCCCAAAAAATAAGTAATTAGCATAGCAAAAAAAGTAAAAAAGAGAATTATCCATCGGAAATTGATATCTATGATAAGAACTAGTCCTGTATGCAACAAAATGAATATAAATCACATCAAATTGTAACATTCAATTTGTTAATATTATGAAGAACAGAAAAAAGAAACAAGTTTAGCTATTGAGAAAAGTAATATTCGCTCAATGTTTTTCTTCTTGATGGCTTATTGATGACCGATTTCAAATTCGAAACTCATAAAATTTGATTATCATTAGTATTATTACCTCTATATCTTTGCTAATAAAGTAAGAAATTATTAAAAAAATCTTCCGGTTTAAGATATTTCTTTCAAGCAGTTTGTTACATAATGATCTTCCTAATTATCTTCCCTATGCTGTTATTGCTTTTCTTCGTCATCAACAATGTCTCCTCGTTCTAGAATTATTATTTCTATTTCAATTTCTCAAAACAGTCTCTTTTTTTTTTAAGAAAAAACACTGTGTCAAAATAGAATTTTTATTAGAGTTCCGTTTTTTAAATTAATCTAAAATTTATGCAAAATGGAAATTCATTAACTTTCCTAGCTTATTATCGAGAATTGATTAATTATAATATCTTTTGTAGCTATAAATTTCTTGTAATATCTTTCAAAATTTTAGCTTATGTCTAAAATAAGCTAATTCTAAATTATCAATTCATCAAACGTCTTTGATTTATTGAACTTTTTTAACTGTCTGACATGCGGCATTGTCCAGTCTCGAGAACGGTTAGTCATTCTATATAATATGGAATATATGTCGTTTATTTATGAATTTTCGATTATTCTATTTGATTTGATTTGCAGTGATTTATGAAATGACCACAAGATGACCCCGTGGTGAGTTTGCTAAGTAAGCTGAATTTTAATAAATTTGTCCCAAAGTGGCCTTCACTTTTGCGCGTTACTTTGAAATGGTTAGGATGAAATTTGAAAGAAAAACTTAATGCTCTCTTGTGAACAATTAAAACTTTTTGCGAGATGAAACTTTACTTTAGTTTCACCAAAGAATTTTTTCACTTCATAAGTGCTTTTATTTTAACTTTCACTTACGTAAAATATTTTCTTAAATTACAATTTTAGATCTTAGACATCTTAAATAAATTTCATCATTTTGTATCATTTTAAGGGTAAAATGTACAGAAAGTTACTAATTAATCAGCTGATTAATTCAGCTTTTTGTTCTTTATGTTTACTTCAGACAAAATATTGTAGTTTGAGAAGAGTTATCATTCATTTGGTTTCAAATTTACTATTGTAAAATGAACTTACACTTGTGAACTATTTCAAATCTTGCAACAGTAAAAGAAATTTATGCAATTCCGTAATAGTTCACATTTATGACCGGTAGAAATGAGCGCAAAGTCTGAAAATGCTAATTGAAAAGTAAACAAGGCCTTCTGTCGATTATGAAAATAGACACTGCCTCGTCTTTCATCTCCGTTTTATTGACTTTTACGGACATTTATGATTTGTTTATGTACAACACATAAACATTTATGTAACTGTTAAAAGTTGATATTGTGAAATTACATGTGACCACACTTACGTCTAATCTCTAATTAATTCTTCTCAGTAAATTCTATTCCCTTTTTTTTTTTTTATTTGAAAAATTCACTTTTGATTTAATGCATTAGATAGAATTAGGACTGGAAAGTAATTGGAAGACGGGAAAAATATTTTAATGATATTCATTGTGGAGCTATTAGTAACTTAAATTTAAATTTTTACAAATTTAAATGACTCGTAATTTTGAAATGTTAGCACAAATCATACTAATTCCACAGCTGATGAATTAATTTTAAAAAATAACACAATATTATCATATTTGTGTTAAATTGTAATAAAATGTCTGATTGATATGAATTAAATGTCGTTCTTGTCGCAGTTAATATATGATTTTTTGATATATTTAATGATTAAGGCTAAAAAAGTTGTTAAGAATCAAACTATATTAGAAGTTATATCAGACGATTGAGCATAACGAATTAAAGTTATAGAGATAAATAAGTAAGTAATAATTAATGGCACATAATGCCAATCATTCTATGATTCTGTATAAATTGCATGACAACTGATGAAATACTGATAAGATGGTTGACATAACTTTTCCCTGTGATATGTTTATGTTCGACGAAGGATAGGCAAGAACTGAAGTGGAAAAGGATAACGATGCATTCAATCATTTGAACTGGACACGTGTCAACCATCGCTCCAAAAAAAAAAAAAAAAAAAGTCTGTTAACTAACTTTATGGTAACCAAATGACACATATCAAACTCTCTGCAAGGATGTCATCAAGAAAACTTGATTTTCAAACAGCACAGAGTAATATAATTAGTGGTTGTAATAGAAAGTGTCTTAATTTAGCTAAACCATATTGACAACTTTTATTAATATTTGTCGTTCAGTTTTAAATGATACTTAAAAAATTAGTAAATTTTAACTTCTTGAAAGAGTTAAATTTTGATTTAGCTGCATTAAATTGTATCTATATAAAAAGGTTTTCTAATTTATAGAAAAATTTGAGCACATTAAGCGAAAATTTTAAAAAATCTCTGTGATGGAAAATTTTAATATTCGATCTTAAAGATGCAAATAAAAAAAAATTCCTCTATAAATTAAAACTGTAAGATTATTTGAAGGAAGTTGAAAGAGTTCGGTAAGATAAAAGTAAATGAGTATGCATATCAGAATGATTGACTCATATATTTGAAGATCATTGACTGATAAGTTCATTATCCTAAATTCCGTGGGGGTGTGAAATTATCAATTATGCGGAACCTTGATAAATGACGAAAATCGTGTTAATCTAATTAATATTGCGTTAATTTGCAAAATTTAATGCCTTAGAATCGTCGATACTATTACAATTTAATCATGTGTGACAGTCTCCTGACGAACGACCCGTTTCTCGCAATTTGCTTTGTGGGCTCACTTATTTTATCAATTTCTTCTTCAAATTACTCTTCGTTCAAGTCGAGAATGCTATTTGTTCATATCTTTTACCATTGTCTTTTTGCAATTTTTTGACATTTGAACGGACCCATAAAACTTATATTTTCTAATAAGTCTGATTTATTGGTTATAAAAAAAAAAAATTAGAACACGGAGTTTTAAGTTTATAATACTGTGATTTTTACAATGACAGTATTATGAAAAAAAAGTTGGGCAGGTAATTTTGCAAAAATTTAGAGCAGCAATTAGGTTAATATTTTGAACATTTAAATAAGTAAAATACTTTCATTAAATTTAAATGATTCTTCCACATCATAAATTGCTTTTCAAAGATTACCGGAAAATTTTTACCAACATTTTTTAAATTTTTCTCGAAAGATTTATTGATATAAACGATAAACAATTTTTATTTACAAATTTCATCTGTTTTCTTTCTTTGTCATTTTTCTCCCCTTGCTTTTTGTTCTTGACCCTTTCCGCTTTTGTTTTCTCTTCAAGGCCTTATTGAAGGATAAAAAAAAGTCATTTTTAATTGTCGAGAATTTAAGGAATTTGTGATTTTAGCGCCACGTGAAAAACTTGTTCGAAGTTTGCTATGAAGTTTGTTTTGAGCTAAATCCCAAAAACACAGATCAATGATTGATGCTTAGAAAATGACTTAAACCCAAATTCTAATAATATATTGATAACAATTGGTAATTAGAAGAATTTGATCAAATTGTGCTGAATTGATGTAATTTTCATTGCCGTAGGCGTACAATATGAAAATGGAATTTGTTTGCATCGTTCACAATATCAAGAAAAAATTAAAATCTTTAAAAAATAGAAAAATTGAAAATGATAGGAGTTTATTTGAAAATTTGTTTTGGTTTCATTTTCATCGAATCATCGCCATATGTTTGCATTACTAATTTCTTGCAATATTTTTTTCTTTTTTTTTTTTTTTTTTTGAATGCCTCTTTTACTTTATTTCATCTTTCATTTTCATTTCTGTTCAGAAATCGATAATTTTTTTTGTTTTGTGATATTTTCTGAATTGAATGTGTTTCTAAACAAATTATCAAAATTCCAGCGAACATTCAAAACGCAGTCAATAAAGTAGTGAGATTGAAAAAAGTATTGAAAGGTTGAAAGGACCGGAAGGATGAGATTGATATGCCTATTAAGGTATATCTTGGCGACACGTTTAATTCCATGGTCTTTCGGTTTGCCATCACTTTTAGCTCCCGAGATTTTGCAACCTTTAACCTCTATGGTACCACCACATTGCACAAAAATTGCTGTCATCAAATCTATGCTTTCGCATGGTTAGTTTTAGCGTAATGCAAGCGTTTTTAGAAATTGTAAAAATAAACTTTATGAAATTTAAGTTAAATGGACATTAATGTCCATTTAATGCTTTTCTTAAAAAAAAAAAAAAGCTAAACGCATGCCATAAGAGCCTTTTGTGCTTTCACTGAAAATTTTTGAAGTGATAAAATAAATTTTTTGAAACTTCTCTAATTTTCTTTTTTTTTAAAAAAATTAATGAATAAATCAGTTTCTAGATTAAACTTCTTAATTTTCTAAATGCAAAAAATGCAATACTGATAATAAACTTCAAGTTTTTTCTTTTAAGAGATCAAAGATTTGATTTACTTGAAGCATTTTTGATTTATTGTTGTTTGGCAAATATTTGATGATTAAAATCAAACGAAAACCATTTGATGACTAAATTAAAAGATGACAAATTTCTTATAATCAGTTTATTAGAATTGGAAATGGAATAACTTTAGAGAAATTTCTGTAAGAGACAATCATATTGTAATGATTCATTGAAAATTTCAAGTTAATTGTCAAAGTAAAATTGATGATTACATTGGAATTATTTGAAAAAATTATTGAAAACCAAATGATAGGAACGAATGAATAAGTAAAATCCTATGAATTTTTAGATTTAATGAAAAAAAGAAGTCATTGTTTTGATAAATTAATTACATCGAGAAAAATTTACTCATTTCTTTTTTTTTTTTTTTCATAATTCTCAAAAATTTGTTTACTTCGAAATTAACAGAATGAATAAATTATAGCATCCGGTGATGACCTTATTCGTACTATGCAAATGAATATTCGAATTGGTCTTCAAAATACTGCTTGCTTTCGATTAGAAAATAATACCAATGACAGAGATTCATTATTCATTGATGTCCTCAACGCAAGGTATTCCGTCTTTCTCTGAAATAAATTACAATCTTATGAAAAAAAAAAGCAAATATTTATTCAAAATAAACTCAAATGTTTTTTTTTTTAAGACAAAATTAGAATAAAAAAAAAAAAAAAAAAAAGTATTAAAGAAGTAAAATAAGCTTACGAGTGTAACAAATGATTAATTGTTGATAATAAAGTAAGTATTAATTTTTTTTTTCTTTTTTATTCTTACTCTAAAATAAATTTAAATGAATTAATGATATCAGAAGTGGTGACCAAGGATGGTTACATACATTGACACTGTCACGATTAGAGCATCATCATCCAATTTCACAGCAATATGAATTTGCAATCCCAGAAGTACGAACAAATTGTATTTGTGAGTGTAACGTAAATTCAGATATTTGTTCCGCTAGGACATATTCCTTTGCTCATTGCGCTTACAATAATAACACACAGGTAAGTATCAGGTACCATCATCCTTCTGCCTCCTTTTTTTTTCTGTTCAAATTAGTTTAATTATGATTGTCAGATAAGAATGAAAATTTTTATTAATTATAATATTACTGAAGAAAAAAACATAAAATGCATAATTGATATTTCAAATAATTTCCAAATGCTATGGAATTTTTCTGCTACCACAACGGTGGTAATTAAATTGATTATATAAAATTTGCTCATTTTTTTTTTTTGATTAAAATGAGCAGAAAGTTTATTTCTGAAAACGAACGAGGAAGATTGATGAAATTTGAAAATCTTTTTGTTATGAACCAAAATAAATAGATTGTGTTCCATTAACAAATAAATTATGGTTGTAGGTAATTAGAGAAATTACAAATAAAAGCAAAAATATAGGCACGCATAAAATTTTATTATCTATCAAATAGTTGCGATCGAACTTAAACGTGATGGATCGAATAGATCTGATGAAGTATACGTGATGGATCGAATAGATCTGATGAAGTATACGTGATGGATCGAATAGATCTGATGAAGTATACGTGATGGATCGAATAGATCTGATGAAGTATACGTGATGGATCGAATAGATCTGATGAAGTATACGTGATGGATCGAATAGATCTGATGAAGTATACGTGATGGATCGAATAGATCTGATGAAGTATACGTGATGGATCGAATAGATCTGATGAAGTATACGTGATGGATCGAATAGATCTGATGAAGTATACGTGATGGATCGAATAGATCTGATGAAGTATACGTGATGGATCGAATAGATCTGATGAAGTATACGTGATGGATCGAATAGATCTGATGAAGTATACGTGATGGATCGAATAGATCTGATGAAGTATACGTGATGGATCGAATAGATCTGATGAAGTATACGTGATGGATCGAATAGATCTGATGAAGTATACGTGATGGATCGAATAGATCTGATGAAGTATACGTGATGGATCGAATAGATCTGATGAAGTATACGTGATGGATCGAATAGATCTGATGAAGTATACGTGATGGATCGAATAGATCTGATGAAGTATACGTGATGGATCGAATAGATCTGATGAAGTATACGTGATGGATCGAATAGATCTGATGAAGTATACGTGATGGATCGAATAGATCTGATGAAGTATACGTGATGGATTGAATAGATCTGATGAAGTATACGTGATGGATCGAATAGATCTGATGAAGTATACGTGATGGATCGAATAGATCTGATGAAGTATACGTGATGGATCGAATAGATCTGATGAAGTATACGTGATGGATTGAATAGATCCGATAGACGTGATGAATAGAACAAAATTATTTAAATGCTATCATACATTTCAATAAGATTTAAAAATTTTATTCAACACAAAGTCTTCATAATACAGTGTAGCTATTTTGTTCGAGATTTGTGATAAGATAATATAATTTTATCAATGATACTAACAAAAAAAAAATCGAGAGTTTTTTAAATTAATTTTATACATTTTCATTATTTTCTAATAGTTTCTTATAAAAAATAACAAAAAAATTTCTGTAAAAATTAATAAAAATTCATAAAATTCAATCAAAAATTAACAAAAACTTTGTAATTTTATAATAAAACTGAAAAAAATCAATAAATTTTGTAAAAATTGATAAAAAATTTTGTTTACAAGAAAATTTATGAAGAAATTTTTGCGGTTTTTACAGGAAAATTGTTTTCGAACATTTCATCCAAATCAGGCAGATACCGGATGTTCACCGGGCAGTCAGTCAAAGCTATGCTGTGAGGTAAAATTGACTTCTAACATTAATTTTCGAAACGAAATCATAGTTCTTAGAAATTTTTTAATTTTTCTTAACAGATTTCGGATTTAAGATGAATTATTGAAAAAACTTATTCATTTAGACAAATAATATCAAAGTAAAACTTTGAGGATGAATGTACCTTACTCTTAATTTATTTTCAATTAATTAATTTTTAAGGTAAGCTTCACACCATATCAAAGCAAATCATACGTAGCTATGAAACTGGAGCAACCGACGACATTTGTCACTTTTAAATACGTTGCATATGATTATACAGCTGGCCGATGGATTGAAAAAGATAAAAATACCATTCGAGTAGAAATTGATGGTCAAACACAGTGGTTATTTTTGGACAGGTAACGTGTATGTGTGTGTGTGTATGTGTGCGCAAAAGTCTGTCTTCGTCAAGTTTCACCTCGAGACTTTGAAAAAAAGTGCAATGATTTCTTACTGGTATGATTCAAATTTTCATTGATAGTAATTTTGAGATGGCGTAGACTGGAATTAGGAGTAAGTGCAGGTGGTCGAGCTAGTCATCAATTGGAGAGTGGAATGTATTTCGCAGCAAATAATCCTAACGGTGAAATGGATGAATTACGACAACAAGTAATTAATGAAATCAATGAAAACAAGTACGTTTCAATTAGAATAAAGATAAGTAACCTTTCCAGCTTGAATAAGTTTGAATTTTAATTTTTTTAAGTAACATTTCTAGGCTTCGATAATTTCAATTCCACCTTTTTTTTTTAGTTTTGATAAGCTGGGATGGTTTCGTAAAGATGCATTGGGACATTTCACAGTACGAAATGGAAAAGTTAAAATACAACGAATGCATTTAGCAAAGGTTGAAAATTGCAAAGATCAAAAATCGCAGAGTTTTCTTGACGCTCATCATTATGTCGATTATAATGATCCCGAGGTTTACAGCTTCCTTTCTATTCATTGCTATTCAAAGACAGTATTTTGAACTAAGATAAATACCTAATTTCATTTGATAAAAAAAGGAGAAAAATATATTGAAATTTGAAATATCTACTTGAAAATATATTAGATTGGACTATGGCATAGCTTAAATTTAAGATTTGGTTTAGATTAGATTTATTTGGAATTTTGGTTGAAATGAATTGTTCATTTCGAAAAAGTCTAAAATAATATGAATTTATTTGTTATTTAATTATTAACATAAAGGAATAATAAGCATAACACAGTATTATAAACTGAATATGCTTTTCAGAATCCGGAACGTTTTGCACTGGAAGCAGTTGTAGAACGAATTTATCCATGGATAAGAAGTGCGAGAGTTGCTGATGGATCTGGACGACATGTTGTGGTGACACATTCCGAGAGTACCAATATAGAAGTTGCATTGCAAGTATGTTAATTTTTTAATCTCATAAAATTTCATACTGTCTTGAAAACAATAGTTAAAATTCAAAATGATTATAATTAGATAATTGAAACTTGAATTTCAGCTTCATGAAGACACATATAGTTTGTCATTTGTACATGATTTTTCAAAAATGGACGACTTTTCGGGTACTGTAATTGTTGATTTCAAATCGAATCGTTTCTTTAATCTGACTGTATACAATGCTACTGGTATTATACATGGTACTGTGAAGAAGACAACAGATAAAAGCAGCAGTGATGAATTTCAGTAAATTTTTATATGCAATATTTTAGAGGAAGCAAAAAGTAATGAAATTTTATCCACTAACCATTTAAAATGTTACATTTTAAAAGTAAGAAGAAATTAAAGAAATTTTTTTTAAAATTATTTAAACAAAAAAAAAGGATGAGAAAATGATATCTTTAAGCAGTACATTTTTATTAATTTTAGTTTCACAACTTATATTGGTGATATGCGAGGTACCAACAAAACTCTTATCGTACCCTTACCAGCACTTATCAGTGGTGGTGATCGAATGATTTGTCTTCATGCTGATAACGATAATTCCAATGAACAAGAAGAAATCTGTAGAATAATTGTATTCAAGGAAGTTGCTCTAGAAGTAATTTTAATTCTGATTGTTTTATTTGTATTTTTGCTAATACTAATACTTCTGATAGTGATTAATTAGTAATCATTGATAGTTATTGATATTCATAAAAGAATTTATTTTGCTAATCACTGATCATTTAGAAGAGTGAATTATTATTTTTTATTGATAACTTAACTTATTGCAGATCAATTTGCTGGAAAATACTTGGAAAGAAATTGATGGTCATTGTCCAGAATGTAATAAATTAACGATGGGAGGTTTTTTGAGCAATTTCAATCCTGTAAACTGGGCTAACGGTATTTCATCAGTTTCAAATTTTGTTATGGTGATTACTGATGTTGTTGTTTATATCATTTTATTGCTTATTATTTATTTCATACTAACAAGATGCTTAATACCATGTCTTAAGTGTGCTTTTTGCTTTCCATCGGGTCCATTATGTTGTAGTTTTAGTTCGCCAAGTTGTAAATCAAAGAATGCGCAACATCATTAAAGTCAATAACAAATTTCAACGTAGAAAAACAATTTTTTTAATTTCCAAAATAGTTGTAAAATTGAAATATCTCATACTCCTAATAAATTTTAGTACATCGACCATCTGTGCTTTAACTATTGTATTTCGGGTAATTATCCCTTAGCTTATTCTCCCATAATGATCAAAGATCAGGAAGGAGTCTCGGGTATAATTATAATACATTTTATGCTAATTAATAAATTACAAATAAGCATGTAAATTTGCATATTGTAGTACCTACCTAACCTGGGAATTATCTGTTACGTATTTAATGTGATATTAATTGCGGGTGCTCATTTTGTAATTATGTCTTCTTAATTTTCTCTGTGTCGTTGTCGTTTGTCATCTGTGATTTCCTAAAGTGCCTAACTTCTCTCTTATAATTCTGCCTTAACTGCCAAAGACATCGTTTTTTTTTTTTTTTTTTGTTTTTTTAATTTTTCTAAAAATTTTTTAAAATGATATGAGAAAGACATGCTATTATTTGATTGAAAAATTAAACAAATTAGCAGTTAGTTTTTTAATTTATAACAAATATACTTTTCAACCAATCAATATTTTTTAATTTTGTTCAAATAATGATAAAAATTCATAATAAAGACATTGCCAATCGTCCTTCCTCTCATTGTTTTGAAGTATAAAGCTAATATTTTTTGTGCGTGAAATAAAGTTAATAATAATTGAAGTGTCGTTCGTCAATTACAGTATGCAAAAATTTTATTCGCTCTAACGAATTAAAATGAAACATACATCGAAATGAAAATTCTATTTGATTTTATTGCTGTTCTAAAATATTTTTGAGATAAAGAAAAGCCTTTTTATTTTTTTTGACTTTTTATTTTTATTTTTTGTGAAATGAACTTAAGGTTAATAATAATTGTAATAGTAATAATAAAATTGTGAAATATTTTCCCTCCATATTGATAGTAATAATTAATAATCACAACAATTTAGTAGTAATGGCAATAATAATAATAATAATAATAATAATAATAATATAATAATAATAATAATAACAGTATAATGACGATGGATAATAATATAATATTTCTCAATAATAATTAATGATAATGAATGATAAGAAAACAGTAATAATGATAGTAATTGATAAGAGATATTAGTCTTGTTTCAGTGTTGAAATTCAGTATCATATCGTATACTACACTAAGAATTATTGATTTATTGATTTTCGTAATGATCAAATGATCCATTCCAATTGCAGTGTTATGCAAACATTTATTTATGAATGAATCGGAAAAATAAAGAAAGCAATAATTCATTCCATTTTACTTCAGTTATTCATACCCAATCTAAAATTACTTTAATTCTTCCATTGAAGCAATTAAATTTAGAGAAAGTTTTGTGATGTTTCACTTATGAAATTAAAATTACTTAGTGAGAATAATATTCATTGTATTTCTAGAAATCTTATTTAAACTTATCTTATTTCAAAATCACAATGATAATTTTTTTTTACTGTAGAAGAAATAAACTTTGTAAAAGAAATGTTGTAATTATCCATAAATGAATAATTCGTTGAGTTTTTAAATGGATAATTGACAGCAGTGAATAGTAATTCTATGAGATTAAAAGTATCAGCGCCTTATCATTTTGATTTCAATTGATCACAATTTATCATTTAATTTTATCTTTTGCCATGTTCTTACTCAAATTTTCGATCTGTTTACTAATCATTTGACATATCCGTGTTCAATTTTAAAAAGTGATAGTAGTGCTCTTGAATTGTCACTAAGAAGAGCAAAAAAGACTTAAACGAATTTGACTAAAGTACCCATCAATCAGTGATTGATATCGTTTATTTTTGGATGATGACTTCAAGCACAAAAGTTTGATATGCTTTTAACTAATGTTTTGAGAGAAAAAAAAGTTGTAAAAATTGAAAATTTTATTTTTAAAGATAACTAAAACTTACTAGCTATATTAACAAATTGAAAGTACTTTTTAGCTAGATTCTCTTTTTTACAAAGAAAAAAAAAAAGAAGATGCCAACAAATTTTTTTAATTGGATGTTAAATTGAAGTGAATACAGCAAAGTAAGAGCGGTTATGGAGCTACAATGAATTCGTAATGAATGATAATGGCGCATTGAAGCGCAACTGGGCGGCATTGAACAGCAGCAATCCATCATCACATTTTGAAATATTGTAATGATGTCTTTATTCATATATAAAAAGAACAATGCAATGCATTATTAAAGTAATAACAAAAAAGAAAAACGAATAAATAAGCAATAAATGAAATGGAAATTGAAGATTAGTTATGAAATGATAAAAATGAAATTAATTGCAATTGAAATGACAGTAAGATTTGATTATTCTTTAGCCAATTAATAAACGAACTTTTTCTTTTCTTTTTAAAAAAAAAGCCTAGCAATTTGCATGATATATCACAATTAATGCACTCTTGTCATTCACACATTCGATAAGGTAGGCTTTTTTCTTTCTAAGAACTCATACACATATATAAATTTTCTTTTAAATTTAAAAATTAATCCAAAAGAAAAAATTGGTCAATCTTATCATTTACATCACTTTATTTAATATTTTATAAAGAAAATTTGAATAAATCTGTAACGAATTGAATTGAGCAGAAATTGATAGCATTGTTGTTGCAATGAATAGTTGAGTGTTGTTAATTTGAATAGATTTTTATCAACGATAACGTTCAAAGAATTTACAAATCTGTTAATTAAAAAATCGAATCATAAAAAAAGATATTACTTTTTATAAATTTTATGTGTTATTTATAATTATTTTATGTGATCATTTTTAAAGGATTAATGATTATACATTGTTCATGCAATCTTAATTATATCTCAATTATTATTCTATCAGACGTATATTAGAAAGAGATTTCATTTTGCTGACTTATTTTTAACTAACCTTTCTTTGCTGAAATGTATCAATTTTAATGAATGAAAGTTCTGCATAAAATTTAAATCCTTGAAAAAGGAGAGGAGAAAAAAAAAATAGAATGGCAATAATTGCGTTTATATCAAATTATCATAAAAAATCATAGAAAGGAGAGAAAAAATCGTATTTCATTTTGATTTAGTATAATAGATTGTTTTAAATTTAATTATGCTATCTTGAAAAGTTGACTTAAAAAGAGAAAATATGCACAAAAGTAAAGATATGTAAAAGATTTCAAAAAAATAAAAGACGAAATGTTCGTAAAGATAAAAGAGATGTAAGCAGGTCTACAGTAAACTTTTAATCTAAGATTTCAAATTATATAAATTTATATGGAAAAGCAGCAAATACATTTAAGAATCTTTGATGCTAAAACTTTCTAGTTGTGATGAATAAAAACAAATCATATCATTATGTAAATGTTTGATAAAAAGATAAAGGTATTCTGCCTAGCTTTTATCAATTATATTATTTATCAATTGAAAATGTGATATTTTCCTAAAATGACATCACAGCTTAAAATGATATAAGTTTAATTTTAAACTTATCAAGTTAATAGGAGAGGATGAATTGGAGATAATGATGAACAAATAAAATTTGAATTCTAATGTTTCAGTAACAGACTTGAATAATTAATAATTAATTAAGCTTTCATGCGTCTACGACCGCTTAATTCTTCTTGCACTCGCGTCTTATATCCATCACGCATGAAACTAACGAAAAAAGAAAAAAACTTTTCACAAATTGCTGCAATTTCTCGTTGTTCTCTTTCGGGGTGTGCTTCTATGATAATATGAATCAAATTGCCCTGCAAACAAAAATTTTAACATATTTTGAATGTTTACTTTATGAGTAATAGTTTGAAGGAAGGCAAAGTGACAGATTTCTTAGTGATAAAAGAATAATCAAAAAATGTGTATGTATGTATGTATGTGTGTGTGTGTGTGTGTGTGTGTGTGTGTGTGTGTCTGTATGTGTATGTGTAAGTGAGGATTTAATTAACAAAATAAAAAAGAAGAGAGAATTTAAAATATAGATAATTTAATGAGTAAAATGGTTTTGAAGTATGGTAACGTTTCTCTCCCTTTCTCTCTCTCTCTCTCTCTTTCTCTCTTTTTATTTATCTACCTCTCTGTTTCTCTCTCTCTCCCTCTTTATCACTTTTGTAAATATCAATTTTCACCAGAAAAATGTCCCAGAAATTCGTATGAAAATTTTCGATAAGTTTATGCCTGGCACCAAGTTTGCGACACGATTCTGCTACCTAAAAAATTTGTTAATTAGCAAAAAAAGAAAAATTTAGTAATTATTATTTATATTTTAATCAGAAATAAATGAATTTTTGTATTTTTTCTTTTGACAATTTAGGTTGGTTGGATTGTGAAAAAGAAAAAAGAAATATTTGCAGTTGGATATTTTACAAAAGCAATGTATTTTGAAAAATAATTGACAATTAATTTTCGTCTTGAAGAAATCCCAAACACAAGATTACATAATTCTAAAATGTTGACAATTATACTAGCAAATATTATTAAACAACCAAATAAAATGCTTATTTATATACACATGAAAAAGTACAATGATTTTTGTTTTTGAGAAATTGAAATTTTGATAGTCTTATATAAGTAATTGATAAAAATGTGACTGCTTTTTTTTTTCATTTTTAATTAATCATTGTGAATTAAAACTTCTACAAACTCATATCAGAAGACTAATCTAAATTCAACAGTTAAAATTTCACTACAAAAAAAAGGCTTTTGAAATCAGTAAAATAAACTTATTTTAGTATCATTGCAGCGAAATTCAATAATAAGTTTGTCGACAAAATCTTCAATATACGGCGATAACGAAATGAATCTTCCGTTAGTTTCCGGATCTTCATCATCTCGTAGACCTGTTGCTTTCTGGAAATAAACGAGTGCCATATTTGCATATTCTATTCAAAAATAAACAAAAAGATCAAAATTATATCATTATTGAATTTCTTATTTTTTTTTATTGATAAATTTAAATGATACGATTTTTTGTTTGTTTAAAATTTCTTAAAAACTGCGAAACAAACTTTGATATTAACGCTCATTCGTGCTGACTTTATCCAAGCTCTCAGGAATAAATCAGGATTTTTCTCTTTCAGTCTGAAATGAAAATTTTATATAATAGAAAATGGAGACGAGATCGAACCAAAACATTGAAAGCATATAAAGTACTATTTGCGCTAGCATTCGTAAATTGAAATTCTTTGATTGGAAATTAAACGAAGCGAAAACAAACTTCTGGATACTTCTTTTCTAGATAATTTCATTTATTTAATGACTGGTTAATTCTTGGAATTGCTTTTATTTTTAAAATTTCATAAAGCTTACTTAGGCCAACTGTCCACTAATTGTTTTCTCTCTTCCTTTGTCAACGCATCCACTTCTGGTAAACTGCTAGTGACAAAAAGTGATAATAAACCATCCCAAATAGAGCGAAAAATTTTATTAACACACATTCTTCAGTCTTTATTCCTTCTTCAATGAACTCAACAAATTCTAAACTTTTTTTAATTTCAAAGTGAAATTAAAATCTTGAAAGCTTCAGAAAGAAATATTGGAAAAGCAAATTTTTTTTAAGAAATTTTAAAAAGAAATTTAAAAAGTTCTTTCACAATGATTTTATTTTTTTAACTAATAGATATCTGTAAATTTACTTAAAATCAAATTAATGCGACATTCTGGTAGACTAACTCAAAGCATCAGTAATCTCAACATTTACCATTTCCATTTAAATAAATAAATTTGAAATTTAATAATTCATTTTTTATCTGTTCCACTTGATTACTTTTTTTTACGACATTTTTTTTCAAATAATCAACTTTGAATCACAATTCAAATACTTATTCAAGAATAAATTAACAAAAGCATAACAAAGAGAAAAGAACTTCAAAAATGACAATAACACAAAATTAATTAATTAAATTAGTTAATTAAAATGATTAGAAAATTTTGTTATTCTTATCATTAAGCACAATAAATGAAAAACATTTCTGATTAATGTTTAAGAAAGACAAATAGTTTTAAAGAAAAGAACAGTTCATTTTGTTGAAAATATTGCAACAATGTGTATATTAAAATATTTGCACTAGTAATTTATCTATTTACTTTTTGTTTATAATTTCATTCTCCAATATTTTTAAGTGGGAAAAATTATTTTCAACTTTGAATTGCTTTTCTTTGTTTCTAAACATTTAGATACATATTTTGCTTGGCATAGAAGCGAATTATAAAATGAAATTTAAAAATGATTAAAATTTGAAATTTTTTGACGAGTTTTAATGAATGTTACAAGTTTTTGAGCCATTTGATTAATCTATCTGCTATTTTTTGAATAATTATGTTAATTTAAACTTCACCTCAGTAAATCATATTATTATTATTATTTAGAGAAATAGTAGGAAAATAGCAAATTTGAAAAGTTTTAAGAAAGATGACGAATTTAAAATGCTGAAAAGGGAGATGAATATAACGAACAAAACTAGTGGACAACTAGTTGGTATAGCACAACTGAAAAGGGGAAGTGCAAAGTAATTCCAAAATTTTTCTTATATTCCTTAGGGTGAATGTAATTTATTTTTGTGAAATTTTCACAAGGGGTCAGCTGGTGTTAGAAAAAAAAAATGAAATAAATGAGAAAAAATCTTTGAATATTTGAAATCATTTAAGATAGATTTCGTAAATAATTTAACATTCCTAACAATAAATTACTCCAATAAATTAAGTAAATATTTACTTTATGTTTTTTAAATCTCTAATACTAATAATATCTATGGCACATATTTGAAAGATTATTAATTGCTAAAGAATGAAACCCAATTAATTAAATTTTGCATTAGTGGATGGAATAGATTTTTTTTTAATGTTTCTAAGCGTACAATTCGATGCTGTAAAACAATGATTAATTAAATTTTGCTTTAGTATGTATGGTGATGATTAAAACAGATTTGATAAGAAAGATGAAACATGCTTAAAAAATAAGACAGATAGAAAATGAGCCTGAAGGTAAGTTTCTCAAGCCAATAGCCTAGCACTTTATTTTTGTCTCTGTCCTCTTTCCAGTTTAACTTTATGCCTTGTCACGCCCAACTCATATATAATTTTTGCGACAAAAAAAAAAAAAATGCTTTTTAACTTTCGTCTTGAATTACAAAATATTTTAAAGCAGTCGAAGTATCTGTTACAGAATATACTTCCAATATATTTCAGCTTTAACTCTAATTGAAATAGTTCATTTTAAACTTTCATCTGTTCGAGAAATTCGTAATTTATGAGTGGAAAAGATGGCATCAAAAAAAAGCAATATTTTATGAATATTTCTTGTAAAATGTGGTATGGTATAAATAAATACTTAGAACTTAAATTAATGACTGCAAATAATATATTCATCGGCAAGAATGTTTTCCAGAAATTGTCACCAAAATTATAATAAATTTAACTTCTGAGGAATTCCAATTCTCAAAATTTCTATTTTTCAAAGTTGAAACATTTCAATGAATAAATAATAATAATAATAATAATAATAATAATAATAATAATAATAATAATAATAATAGTAGTAACAGAAATTGTACTGTTTTACCAAATATTTTTATACAAGTGAAAAAAAATTTATACGATTTTCGATATTTCGAGACTTCAAATGACAAGTCAACCATTGAGAAGAAAAATTTGCTTTGATGGTCAGCTCGTTCTCGAGAAGAGAAAAAAATTTAATTATACTTTCACAGAGCAATAAATTTCTTTTAGAATGAACTCTGGCCCAGATGCTTAATTCAAGCTGAAACTATCATAAAAATTGGAAAAAGTGAGGCATAAACATTTTATTTGTGAATGCTTTAGTTATTAAGACCAAATGAAAAAAAAAAAAAAAATTATTTAGTGCAATTATTTTAGAATAGAATTTTAAATATGCAATAACAAATGGAAATTACATTGGACAACAGAGGCAGTGCATGAAATTGAGCATTTAATTTACAACCGCCATCTGAATAACTAATTTTTTTAGTAATTTTTAAAATTTCAATCTTTTGTTGGTTTTGTTTTTTTTTGTTTTTTTTTTAGTGCAATTTGAAATTGCTTTTAGTTTTTCAATACACTGCTTGAATCATTCAAAAATTGCCTTTATTTAAAATACTATTTCAGAAAATTTTTTCTACTTTTTTCTTTTTTAATGAATGCCGTCGATGAACTCAATGATGCCAACCACAAAAAAAAAAGTTTGCTCCCTTAGATAAATATTTAAATATTAGTAATAGGCAAACAGATATTTACAAAACATAGAAAAGTTGATTTAATTATTTTCCAAACATTTATTCCATCTTTCTTGCTTTAACATCGGTTTAAATTATTAAACATTATTAAACTAATGCAAATTTTATCAATGAATTAATTAATTAATTAAGCAATAAAGGAAATCTAACAATTATCTCTGATAAACTATTCAAAATGAGTGGTACATATAATGTGGAAAATGATAAGCACAAACTATTTGAATATTTTGTTTTTTCTTTTACTTTTTCCATTTATATGTTAGATAAAGATTCAAAATGCTTCATGTATAATTTATTTAACTTCATTTTAACTAAAAAAAAGACAAAAATGAATTTTAGAAAAAGTTCGTATCGGAATGCAATCAGGTGGTTGTGTTGATGTCATGGCTTATTGGTGTAATCTCGCCGTAGCGGTCGATGTCATCGAGATCGGCGACGGCTACCGTCGTTGGTAGCGTAAAAGAAGTTCAGTGATGATCGCTTTTAACCACCAAGATCTCTGAGTTTGGTCGTGATTTGAATTTGCTAACGTGCATCACCATCTGAGGACTTCCGTTGACACTTTTGTGGAAGTATATGTACCCAGAAGTTTTGGAGGAATAGAATATTCGAAAATTGAAATATCGTTAGTCAATTATAAATTATTGCAATTTTAATTTTCGAATTTTTCCAACATTTTAATAAATGGTCGAAAATCTTTTTTTTTTCTTTATCTTTCTCTTTCTACTCTTTAAGTCAAATAGTAGAAGAGAGAGAGAGAGAGAGAGGGAGAAAGAGAAAGAGAAAAAGAAAAGAAACAGAGAGTTTTAATTTGTGTAACTTAATTTAAAGTTCCAGTACTCTTCACTCATTTCTAAGCATTCAGTAATTCATGTTCGTGGAACTATTGATTCAATAATACTTTGCGGGAAATCACACACACACACACACACACACACACACACACACACACACACACACACACACACACACACACACACACACACACACACACACACACACACACACACACACACACACACACACAAGCAAAACATTCATACCAATTTTTATATATTAAAAAATGGAATCTTTCTGTGTGATTTAACTTTCCTTTTCCGGTTTCATTTCCCGAAATTCAAGCCACCTTAACCTATTTCTAATAACTGATTATAATTTTTAGTTGAGTCTTTTTGAAATGTAAAATTAACAAATAGTCAATAAGTTGGGTGTAATTTTTGTGTTTTAATGATTTCATACTTCTACGCACACATTTTCTGGCCTAAGTTTAAACTCAAATTTCATTTAGTTTAGGCCAATATGAGAGAATTACAACTTTTAACTGAAGCATCTCGATCATCTCAAACATTCTCGACTTTGCTAGGAGAATATCGAATAGAAATGGCCGTTTCCGACTTTTTGTTGACCCTCGAAATGTTGTGTATGTCTATGTCTGTGTGTGTGTGTGTATGTGTGTGTCTGTGTGTCTGTACGTCTGTGTGTCTGCGTGTGTAAGTGAGTGTGTAGCTGGGTGTATTCCTCAATTTGTTATAGTCGAAGATGGAGGGGTGTTGAGTGTTGTTAAACCAATTTGTACTACTACGTCTGTGTCGTGCATGCTATATGACCTTTGATCACGGCTCTTGTCCACTCTTGACCCTGTCTCGATCAACTTAGTGTCAACTCATTTTTTTAAAGCTTCAATTTCAAGAATAAAACAGCAGTGGTTCATTCCTCACACGGTTTGCATGCCTTTCTCGTGCTTCCTTGTAATTATCAATGACTATTCACTGGCTGGTTTATTGCAGCGGCAAACTGTATACATACAACTCTCGCATGCATGCAACTCTCGCATGCACAACCCTAATATGACTTCGATTCCCTATTAATGGACAGTCCTATTGCCATGAACGAACTGCTACTCTCGAATTACAGAAAATGATTTTTTTTTTCTTTTAACTTGCATTTTAGATAATTTAGATTTTTTTGCAATTGCTACTCATTTAAGTATTTTCATTATTTTTTCTTATCAAGAAATGAACACATATTCACCGGTGGTAAGAGAAAATAAACCTGAAAGTATTTTTTCGAGAATAACAAATAGATGATTAGGTTATATTCTGGAAAACTTTACCTAAGCATCCTGTAGATTTGAATATGACATTAACTCGTCATCTCTGATTTAATTTGACCATAAATTAATCAAAAATTCCATCCTTACCACGCATATAATGTGAATTGATATTGTGAACTTCTTGATGTGATTAAATCCATGAATCAGTGAGAAAACAACTCTGGCAACTTTTTTTTTCCTGACTTATGATTAAGAAAAAATATCAAATTCTCGAAAGAGGAAAGAATATTTAGTTACTGTGACAATAGAAACTTTTCATCGAAAATTGTCATATATAATTTTAATTTCAGTCTTATTTCCCATACCGTTTTTAAGATTACTATTTTTGTTATATCTAAAATATTTGCTCCATCATATATGTATTATTCATTTGTAAATTCAATAGTGGACAAGAATATTTCATTTAAACCTCTGATGAGTATTGTGATAAATGTCCTTCTCTATAATATGAAATGTTTATTACATCATTTCAGTAATTATGAACTTCATTCTGACGACAGTTACTATATTTGTCACTTTTTACACCTCTAATAATGCTAAGGAAATGGCAACAGTTACTAAGAAAGTTTATTTCGATATTGCAATCGGTGATAAGAAGGTTCGCATTTGTTTACTTATTAGTTAATTAAGTAGTGTTAGTTTAATTACGTATGCTAATTAATAAATCTTCCTGGTCGGAAAAATTTGTTTTATTAGGCTAATATATACAAACTATGTGTATGTATACATATCTATATATGAAAATTATTTTAGATCGGAAGAATAGAAATAGGTCTGTTTGGTAATGATGTGCCGAAAACAGTAGAAAACTTTCGAGCATTGGCTACTGGTGAGAAGGGTTTTGGCTACAAAGGATCTAAATTTCATCGTGTAATCAAAGATTTTATGATACAGGGTTAATTTTTTTTTCCGGTAAAATAAGTTTTTTTTTTTTTTTAATTTGAAATAGAAAAAATTGTTACTCAGAAATTTCTTAAATTTAGGTGGTGATTTTACGAGAGGAGATGGAACTGGAGGTAAAAGTATTTATGGTGATCGTTTTGAGGATGAAAATTTCAAATTGAAGCATTATGGTGCTGGTTGGTTGAGTATGGCTAATGCAGGAAAAGATACCAACGGATCACAATTCTTCATAACAACGGTTAAAATTTACAATAAAACACTTTGTCTTTAATTTGATCTGATATTTCTCAACTGATATTTTTCACTGTCAACAAATGATTAATTGAAAATTTTATATGGAAATTTAAACATAATTTTAGGTGCAAACAACATGGCTAGATGGTCGTCATGTTGTATTCGGAAAAGTTCTAAGTGGTATGGATGTTGTTAGAAAAATTGAGCAAACATCAACACATCCAGGTGATCGACCAAAACAAAGTGTTGAAATTGTAGATTGTGGCGAATTGTCTTTAGATGCTCCGTTTGATACACCAAAAGAAGCTGTAGCATAAAAATGAGTAAAAATGAACTGATGTTTATGATTGTTCAATTCAATTCATCATATTATTGCTAAAATAGATGTGAGTTGAAATGAAATATACTTTTTAATTGATTAGAAATTAAAATTCTAATTTCTCGGAGATTTTTTCACTATTCGCATGGTTTCATTCTGTTATTAACTACTTCTAGGTATCTAACAGGAAGACATTAATCTGTTTTTAATATGACAAATTCACGAGTAATTTTTCTATTTTGATAAATAACTTTCGCTATGTATTGAATGAAATGATTTAAAAGTTTGTTGTTAATAAAAAAATTTTATTTCAATATTTCAGTCTAGCAACAGCAAGGAAATATATTAATGTTGTCATGATTTTATACATTGAAAATGGAAGGTTTCATCTCTAAGTTTTCGTTACTTTTTTAAATTTTGAATATTATGAAATTCTGCATGATTTCTGTTGAAAAGCATAGAACTAGAAATGACACTTTTGAAATCGGAAGTATTATTTTTCAAATAGTATTATACTTTTTTTTATTTCACTTTTTATTTATTGGAATGAAAGAAAAATTCAACTCCGTCAATTTTAACACAATGCATCATCAGATATATTCGGAGATCGTAAATAGTCATAAGACATTTTACCGAAATTGCCTTGATAAATGGGTTTGCGTGAATCTTGTTGGCCTTCACCTAATTTGAAATTTCTTTATTTTCTTTCCCAACTCAGTCATATTCTTTCTCATTATGCTTATGATTCTCCTGACTTTTCTATTTTTTTCTTTTTTTTTTTTTTTTTTTTTTAAACAAAACGAAGTTATGAGCTTCCAATCTTTTTGTCCTTTAAGAAGAAGACTGGAAATATGTACTTTGAAAGTGAACCTTGTTATCTTAACATTATCAGTTGTTATAGAAAGTTTGCATTTATTAGCAAACTGATCGTTCTAATAGTCTTTTCCTTTTCATAATGCTATGAATGATATAAAAGTACAGTATGGTATGTAAAATATACTGAATTATTTCGCATTGAAAGCAATAGAAATGATTGATCTTACAAATGGCATCTCCGATTTAAATCATTATAGTGAAGGTCATTGAGGGAGGCATTTCAAGATCAATTTATAAATGGTCAAAATTTTAATCAATAATGATTGTACCAATAATTGTTTCCCTGCTTTAATGGTTACAAATCCTGGTACAAAAAAAAAAAAAATTTCCTATTTGATGAAGCAAATTTAAGACAAATTAATGAAATATTAGCCAAAAAAAAAAAACTCTCAAAATCTAACTCATTTAGGCCACGAAAATCTACTTCTTAAAAACTTATGCATTTTTAACAGAATGCAAGCTTACTTTCATCTTCCTCTTAAAATGGTTCTAAATTTTGACGAGAAATTGCTAAACGATGACAACGATGAAAAAATAATTTACGATCAATATTTTCAGGAAAAAGAAATGTTTAATATTAGCATTCTGTGTTGATTAACTGAATATAAGTTTTGTAAAAATGGAACAGACATCTTTTAAATGTATGATTGATTCTTTGTCTGTACCGAACTTTGTGAAACTTTTAGTACTTCATAAAATTTGAAGGATATCAGAATCATCACTGAACTTTGTGCAGTTTTATTATTTTTAGAATCTGACTTAGATATTTTAAATTGTTCGACCGAGACCAAGAAGTGAAAATATTGCATTAACCCTAAAACAGTACTTTTACTATCAGCTGAAAGTTTTTTTTTTTTAAAAAAAGAAAAACACTATAACGTTATGATTATTAGGTGACACACTGGGAATGATAAGAGCTATTCGGTAGATCAAATCTACCACTATCACTAAAAAAAAACTTTAACATATAAGAAGAAATTTTAAGTGATGATACTGTTAGGAATAGAAAATGCATTCCCATAAATGACACAAGATTCAATTTATCATCAAAACAAATTTAAATATCAATCAAATCTTTCAAATTATGAAAATTTTATCGTTGGGCAGTTCTTCCGCAAATGATAACTTTTAAGGCAGTAAACATTATTTACTAATGATAAGAAAGAGTAACTGTTATATATAACTTTAAGCAAATGATGGTAACTAAACAGCAACAATTTGATAACTTCCAAACAAAGATTCATTTACAATTATAGCGTACGAAATAATTAATTACCAATTGAAGTCTTACAGACTAAAGAAAAAACCAAGATAGAAGTCATATAAAAATAAGTTTTTAAGGAATACAATTTAATTAAATTTACAATCTGCAACATTATAATGTTATCAACATTATCAATCTAATTAAATTACAAAAAATATTATGAATGTAATGAATAATTTAATGATCAAGGAAAAATTTTTTAATTTGATAATTCCCAACAAAAAACTCATTTATAACTATAGCAATTGAAATAATTAATTACAACTGCTTTGGAAATATTAGGTTTAAAAATTTCTAAGCGTCTAATTTTTCTTCTTTTTAAATCATTATAACTTCAGAGATTTCTCCAGTTTTGGTCATTTTTATCGGAATTCATCAGATAATTTCAATTATGAATAATTTGAAGCATTTAATGCTTATCATTATGTATTCGCAAACAAACGTTTAGAACGCACTAATAAATAATATGAAAAAAAAAAAAAAACAATGCAAACAAACTTCACAGTTACTCATAAAGATGCATAAAAGTTATTCCTTTCGTGAATACCGTAAAACATTTTTATACAGAAAGAGTAAACATAATGCATAAAAGTTGACAAATTGGAAAAAGGATAAGCAGCTGAGTCATTGCTTTTATCATTTACTTATCGTTATTTATCAATAGCTAAGCATACGAATATTTGCAGTTTTATTAAATAATCACTGGTAGCTATTATACTACAGGTTAGTTTGTATGGTACTGCTTCGAAATGTTATTCTAATAGTCGTAATCGTCGTCGAAAATTGGCACAGCAAAAATTCTGCAACACATTCAAGTGTCAAACAAAATTATGAAGACATTCACAACAGAAAGGAAATTAATATCATGCAGGAAAACTATACCTCTCTCATTGCTTTCTATAGTCAGGGACCTTCCATTCTCGAATTTTTTATTCTTTTACGAGTATGAATAATTTTATTCTTATACCTACATCTCCCTCCCCTCAGATACAAAAGTAATACTGATCCGAAGGTAAGAGATGCACGAGAGAGAATAGACCAGATAAACCAAATAAGTATAAATAGATAGGTCGAAAAAAAGGGAAAAAAAAACTTTATAAAACAAATCTTTCCATGAAAATTTTTAATTGAAAAATAAAATAAATCATCATAATATATCCAAGAAGATTTTCTGTTTAATATAGTAATGACATTAAAAAAATATTCAATTACAAACATTTTTATGAAAGACAATGCAAAAGAGTACATAAATAATATACACTGTTGAACTAGAGAGGTAAAAATATGAATACTACCTGAGAGGTATATAAACAAACTAATATATATCGAGAAGCAGTTCAAAGCAAATATATACAACAATACTGACCAGAAAACCCATGAAAGATGTAGCAGCAGTTAAATTAGTTTCAATGAAATAAATACAAGCAGAAATATGTAGTTATTTTTTTATAATAATGTAAAATGTAGTCTTTTTGACTCTCTCAACTGCATTTTTCTGTCAGCTAGTCTACAACAAATACTGCTTAAAGACATATGTTATCCTAGAAAGGAAAACATTTCACAAATTAATCATTTTAAAAAATTTTCGGGATTGAAACAGAATTTTCACAAAGTGTCACTCAACAAGTAAGTTTATAACTTTAGTATTCAAAAATTTCACACCAAATCCCTAAGCAAATTAGTTATTGATTGGCATAGATCCTCCAAGTTCTTTTTGTTATGATGAAATCAAAATTAGTTTAATAATCATATAGCTGGTCATGCTTAGTGCTCTGAGTTTCCTTGTTCCGATTCCCGTATTTCTTTCCGAAACAATCTACAAGCAATTACAACAATCTATGATTGGCTTTTTATCTTCAAATTATATGCAACAAAAAACACTATGCGATAATCGCATAAATGAAGCGCAGGACAAAGCACTATGTAACTGAATTATAAAATAAAGTTTGCAAAAAAAAAAAAAAATAAGAAAGAAAAACATATACAGATAAACTGCAATGAAGGACTTTTCTTAAAAAAGAAAAAAACAAAACGAAAATCTCAACCTTCAATTTATAATACTATCATATTTCACATTACCAAAATATACCAAAAAAAAAAAACCCAATCTAGCTGTTATTTATCCGTCTTCTAACTAAATCTACCACTAAAACTTCGAAAATTTTCATATTCCTTAACCTCGACCAACTATCATTCCCATTATTACGTCAGGCATTCTAAAAGGAGAAAGAAGAATGGAAATTATTTTCTACGAGAAAACTGTAACCATTGCTAGAACAAAACTTTCGGAAAAAAGTCATGAGTTCATTTCAATCTATTTTGTACCATAAATAAGACAAAGACACATGAAATAATCAAAAATATCCAGTGAATAATATGAGGACTATTAGCATAACCGGGCATAACCGGGGTTCAGTCTTTTGATGCAATCAGTATCGATTAAATTACCGGAATAAAATAGAGAGAAGTTGCTGGAACTATAGACAACCTGGAGTGCTTTCAAGATGTCTTAACACGACTTCCGAACATTCTTTCTATTTTCAGAGTGGAATTTTTATTCTATTAATGTCTTAGCTTTAAACTTTAAATTGCAATGCACTGAATATTGGGAAAAAAACACTGAAAATGAATCAAGAACATAACGAACTGTAGATGGAGATTTTCAAATAATGAATTTCAAGAAGAAAAATATGGTAATTCTAATCAGGATGAAGTACTTACCGACTTATCAAAGTATCTTCGAAACGGCTTTTCTCAGCAATTTCATTTTGATCGCTATCATCAATTACGCCAATTTTGCAAAGTGATTCCGGTTCTGGTGAAAGCAGGCGACTATCTACATTTGATAACATGACTGCATCTTCGTATGATAAAGCGTCACCATCTGCCAAGTTTGGTAATAATCTAAAATTATATTATACACTGCCAAAATATACATTCTATAGTTCAAAATCTGTATAAAGTGTTAGCCAGATATTTTTCAAAGTCCATTATGCTAAATTCCAATAGTTAAAATAACATTATAACTTACTTCAATCGTAAACTTTTGTGGAAAGCCATTTCTTCCCAGCTCAGATAGCCTTTCGCTTTTGATTCTGTATCTTTCTCGACTTCCAAGCGACATGTTTGTTCTAAAGAAAAGCAAAAATCATAAGTGATTGTCGGACACCAATTGCTTAAATATATAACTGTAGTAAAGGTTACACACTAAGTCAATTCATTTTGAATGTAAAGATGTCTTATTTAACTGTTTCATTGTAATATCCAAAATAACCACACAGAATATTCATCTGGCAAAAAAACAAAAAGATAAGTTAATAACTGATTTGTATATACCCTTATATTTTACGTATTCATCCCAAGTTTTCTTCGAAACCTGCGCACGTCGTACTGACTTAGAGTGAAATTCCCATAAAGCATCGTCTTCAAACTGTTCCACAATTGAAATCACTCGAGTATTATCTACTTCGGTAGCTCGGATTACTCCTACTACGCTGAGTAGCACCACTTGCAGTTGTAAATATGGCACAATTAAACGATTCATTAATAAAAACCAATGATTCTTTATTGATATAAGATTTCTAAGTTACTGATAACTTGTCATGCCTTAACAGTAGAATCGCAGTTGTTACTTCTTATCAGTTTCAATCCATTGTATAGCGCTACTCATTAATTTGAAGAAGTAATGCAAACTATTTCAGAATGGCGATCATCTCCGGAATCAATGCATACTGAGAGAATCCGTTCCGTTACTTTCTTCTGATTCCACATTATCCATTTCAAATTTAATTATTATATCAGTTATTATAATATCAGTAATGCATGAGAATTTTTGGTGTGAAACATTAATTTCTTAAGTTCTATTCAATTCTGAAAAGACGGAAAACATTAATTTCCATAAAATTAAAATTATGACTATAAACAGCGCAACTATTCGATGTATATAATAACAAATGACACTACAACAATACTACTAAATGTTTCGCTGATCCCAAGCACAACTATTGAAATGATAGTTTAAATAACAGTCATTTAAACAAAACAAATTTTGAATCAGATAACTTGGCCAGACTGTCACTCATAGCAGAAATGACATCACCGCCCAGCCTAACCAATGTCTCGGGTAGCAACGATAGCCCTACCCTTCTGTGCCCCTTCATCCTTCCCCGATCGATTTAATAGCACTTCGACAAGATGCAGAAAGTGTGAAGAGATAGATAGATGTGCATACGGAAAGAAGTAAAGGAAAAAGATAGAGATATGGGAGGGTGAAACGAGTGCGTTATGCTTGATTCACACGTGACGTAGGTGTTCATTGACTTACGGATTTATGCTGTCACAGATAACCGTTGAGAAAGTCTCAGTCAGATTCCACGTACGTTTTTAATTATTTCTTGCAGTGTAATGACGCAATATACGAAAGCAGGAAGGAATGTTGTGACCTGTTCTATTGAATGAAGTGGGTAAGTAAGTGACCTGTTCTATTGAATGAAGTGGGTAAGTAAGTGACCTGTTCTATTGAATGAAGTGGGTAAGTAAGTGACCTGCTAATCGACTGTTAATCAACTTTATTAAAGGTTAACCATGCATGTGCTGCAGTACGATATTTGCATGCATCCGCGAATAAAACTTTCACATCAGAATAAAACTCAGTTCGTAAGTTCGAAATCTTGCTGGAACTCAATATCGCTTCACATCTTATTCACTGTTTTGTTCAAATTTATTAGAATGTTTTGAGTCATTCATTCTCGAGATATGCTATTCACCATTCAGCAAACTTTTAAATGATCTTAAATAATCTTTAAGTGATCTAAAAAAGGAAGGAATTGTTCTATTTCAGAAGAATAAATCTGGTGTTGTTGGCGCTAATGTGAGAGATATTATTGGCACAATATCACATTAGCGCCGATGCTCATCAGCTTTGTTTTTATGTGTTTTTTTTTTTTTTGTTAGCTTAGGTTGTTAAAACACAAATTACTGTTTTTTTTTTTTTTTTTCATTAGGACATATCACTGCTTATTTTGACAGTTCAATTTTTGTTTATTAAATTGTTTTCAAGTAATCTAAAGGAAAAAAATTTGCTATCAAGAATAAAAGAGTTCAATCATGTAGATGTGATTAGAGATCTGAGACCTATAAGATCTTGGCGTGAACCAGACGTTGGTTGCTGGTTCACGTACGTTGGTACATGTAGTGGCAGCACTAATATTCTGTTCAAAAATATTTCTCCATTTTTTTAACTTCTGCTATTGTGAGAGATATATTGAACTTCAACACTTTAGAATATTTTCAAAAATGACCGAAATACTGTCTTATAATATGATTGAAAAACGTAGCCTTGAAACTTCTGTTACTTTTTTTTTTGATTTTTGAAATTTTCTTCGCCAAAGAATCTAACAGAATTTCATAGGATTTATTTCATCATAAAAACTTCACGACGAAAAAAAAGTAAAAATTATTGGTAAAACAATTAAAAGGGCAAAAAAAAAGATGCAGCAAAGTATGTTAAGAAATTGCATATATAAAAGGACAGAATATTCAACCAAAAAAAAAAAAATGAAAAAACATCATAAATTGGTCCATTTCTATACCTTTTTCCAAGATTTCAAAATAAAATTTAATGAATTAATTGATAATAAAATTAAAAAAAGAAAACCAAATTGTGACAATAATACCTTTCTTGGATTGAGTCTTAGCATTACAAATCTATCTGAAAGCAATACAGCTTATCACAGAGTTAATCCACAATGATTTAAACTTATTCAAATTCATTTTAAAGAGAGAAGCAACTGATGATTGATTAGATAGAACACATATTCATTAATATAAATTAAAGTCCACAAATTAACACATTGATATTAAACCATCAACAAATGATACAATAAACTGATACAAAAGAAAATAGAATTTTTGTTTCTTAAAACTTTTAAAGCATTTCAATCAATGACTGACACTGAGAAGCATAAGTACCTTGGAAATAACAAATGAGAAATGAACATTGAAGCAGTAGTAGAAGTGGACAAAGAAATTTACAATACGATGATTCTCAATTAGTTTACTTTAATAGAAATAATTAAATCACTTAAATACTGTTTCAATCTCAAGAGCTGTCCATAACATTAAACTAAAACAAACAAACAAACAAACAAAAAAAAAAAAAAAAAAAAAAAAACGAAATATTATAAAATCACAGATACTAACAATCCCATTCCTAATTTTCTCATTCAAAATTTATTTCTGCTTATTATTCAAAGCATTTATTACCATATGCATTAAAAATGATTCAAAATGATCCAAACGTAAACAAAAATATATTTATCTTTTCGCTAATATTATTTAATCATTTTTGATTCATTTTTTAACATATAATTGGATTTTATTATTACAAGCATTGAAAATGTTCAAATCTTCCAATCAACATTGCTTTTAGTTGTAAAATTTTTTGTATTTCAACATTTTTGATTTTTGAAACTTGTATAATTTTTGAAATGAAAGATTTCAAAGTTTTGTGTTCATTATTCCGCAAAAGTTTGGAGCAATTTACAAAAGATCTAATTCTGTTTCAATGATTTTGTTATTTGGTAAAAAAAAAAAACAGGGAATCAACCGAATATATTTTAAATTAATTCCTTGTTTAATATCAATGTTACTTATTACAATTCTATCAAATAATAGTTAACAAAACAAAAAAAGATTATCTTTAATCCTTATCATTTATCACGAAGAAATTCTCCACTGATTTTGGTAATGAAAGAGAAGAAATAAAATTTAAAAAAGAAAAACAAAATTTAAATTTGTGTTGAAAGGAATTATTTGAAAGAAGAAATTATTTCCAAAAAATAGAATCAGTATATGAGAAAGCAAAATTTATTTGAGGACAAAACATATAATAGAAAATATCAGTATGTACTAGCTGCTTCCAACCAATCGTCATGAAAATAATATCACTGAAAATGTTTAATTTTTGAATTTTTTTTTTAAAAAATTTAATTGTTGATCTTTCAGATGGATATTAGGCGGAGTACTTCAAACAAAGACAATGATCAAAAATAGAGTACAAATTTTTAAAAATTTTCCATAACTTCATAAGTTAATTATACGAAATTAATTAATTTAATGGTTTAATAGAGAAAAACAATTGTCACAGAAGTGAAAAAAAAAAAAAAAAAACTACCTGGATATGTTCACTTGAATATCCGTTTTCATTTTCACAATTTTTACTACACGATTCGCTGTTTTGTTCTTCATTACTATTCTGAAAAAAATTAGATTAAAAGAAAATGAAAATTAATTAAAATAGATTCATCATTTAATTCAAATGCTAATTCAAATATTATTCAAATATTAATTTAAAATATTCAAATCTTTCGAGATAAAATTCAAATATTAATTTAATAAAATAGATTCATTATTTAACAAATTATGTAAATAATAATTAATTAACTTAAAAAAAAAACTTGTCATATATTGCTTACTGTAACATTTGTGATAAGGAATAGATAGAATAGGATGATAACAATGAGAGAGAAACAGAAGAAGAGGAGTAAAATGATTTGATTTGAAATATTTTATGATAACAAGCAGTGAACCTCTTCGACGATAACATGATTAGTTGTTTTGAGTGATAATGAAGTTGGCTGAGTGATAGCATTAGTTGTAGCAGTAGTAGTAGTAGTACTGCCTGATTCCATAACTTTTGTGGAAGTCATTTTCCCTTCAAGTTCATTGAGCCATTTCTGATGATTATGTTTCAGGTTAATGATTAATTCAGGTTCTTCCAAACCTGGCAAAATTGGCAACAAACCAGCTTCATTCAATGCAACAGCTAATGGATTAACAATATGAGAAATGAATGAGTCCTGTAATTTGGCAACTGCCGGATCATCTCGATCCATATATGGTGACACTGCCATACCACGTCTTTTCTCTTCATCACCCTAGGAGAAATAAGATTTTATAATCTATCAGAAAAAAAAAAAGAAAAATTTGAAATTGGGTGAGAGAATCTTTAAATGAACTAACTAACTGATAAAAACTCTAAAAATTAACCGAAATTAAGACTTAATTTAAACACTTTGCTATCAGTTAGTAATTTAATTTATGCATGATTAATCAGAATTATTTTTCATCAAATGACAGAATATGAGCATTGGATCAATTTTATCAATTTCAAGTGTATACCTGGCCATAAAATTCTTCACAAATGCGATCAGTCCATTGACGATGAAGTGGGTATGGCTTAGAAGGACTATTGATATCAGCAAATTTAATGAGCATTTGTGAAATGATCACACGATGTGATTCGTTACTAAGATCCATATCTGGTGCTTTTTCATTAAATTGCATTATGATATCGAAGTGTAGTTTGAGATCTGTGGCAAGGATATATTCCAACACAAGATATCTGTAAGAGGAAAATGTCAAAGGTTATCACTGATTTTTAGCAGTTAGCAGTATATCCATCTCTTAACAATAGCAATCATTAAAATAAAGTATTTTCAGCATAGATAAATAACTAAATATAATTTGATTGAATTATTAAATGTTTCATTACAAGCAATTTTGTGTGAGTTTCACAAAGTTTAACATATAAAATTATCAGTTAATTGTATGATAATTTTAAAACACAAATAATCACCAAATTAATAATTTACCGAAAACGTTTCGTTTCAGCTGCATCTAAAGTTTCAATAAATGAATTTTCTGATTTCGATAAAAGACGCCATGATTCAGCGGCATGATGATTTTCTAATACTGACCGATCATTGTACAAAATAGCCTAAAACATACTGATTTTAATTATAACTTTTGATTTCATCTCATTCAAACTGTAATACAAAAAAATTAAGATTTCATTTTTTTTTTTAAATTTTTCATCTTCCTCATTTAATTTGGGAAAAAGTACTTTTCGTAATGTTAATAGATTATCTACTAAATTGAAATAGATTATCTACCAGATATCTAATAAATTATCTACTAAAATTGATCTTAACTAAATTGACCTTAATTTTTTTTTATTCTAAATTGAGGAAATTTACGAGGCCTAACTCATATTCGAATCGAAGATTAAGAGAAATAATAAGGCGCAAAAAAATTCAATTAATTAAAGTATCCATTTAATCATTCATCATCACTTTACAATTATTAGTTTTTCTATTGTATCCACGTGAAAATTTATAAAACTGTTAAAATTGTACAAAGACTGATTACCTTGGATTTTTCCACATTTAATTCATTAATTTTAATTTTATTTCTACTGGTAACTTTTTTATTTGGAAAAATATTATTTTTGCGCAATAAAATAATCCTATTTGAAAATAAAATAAACAGTTAATTGATGCAAATGAATGTTAAATTGGATTAATTTGATATTAATAACTTGTTTACGTCTCAATTAGCAAAAGCAGTTTGGTTTAAAAACAGAATATTGACAGAAAAATAATATGTAAACAAAACAAAGAAAATACATAAAAGATCCTCCTGTGAAATAAAGCAATTAGAGAATCGAAAATGTCTGAACTTCGTTAATTAATTAATCTGATATATAATCAGAAATTTTTCCATAACTGATAAGATTAAAATGTGAAGAATGCATAGGGTCATTTTCAATTGCTAACTAAAGAAATGTTTTTTTTTTTTTTTTTTAAATTTATTATTACAATTTCTAGAATTGAAGGGATTAAGACAAACTTTTTTATCTTCGGCTGCAACAAGAAATGCATTTGTACGTCCCGGATGATCATAATCATGCATTGCTGCTGCGGTGAATAAAGCCATAAGCTAGAAGAAAACAATTATAGTTTTAAATTAGAAAAAAAAAAAGATTATTTTATTAAATATTTTAATTTTAACAAAATTGAAGTAAAATACTTTACGTTTTGAGTTATTATTGCGTGGATAGATACTGCTAATAGATATTATATACAAATATCTAAGAATTATTCTCTCATTTGAACAAAAATAAATTTATGCAATTGATAAGATTCAATATTATTGAGAAAATTTTTAGAATTACAATAATAATTTATATTGTTTTTGAAATATTTATCGAATACCGAGAATTTATCGAGAACTGTGCTAATAGTTTCAATTTACTGAAAAAAATCAAAATGAATTATTTTGCAAAATTTTACAGCACATACTTCAAGTGTACTCATGCTGTTTGAGAGAGGTAATGGTGAGTTATCAGAAATAGATAACGAAGATTCAGGAGGACTATTAGTTGGTGTACCGAGAAATGCACAAACTGGATGACATGTCAAGTAATAACACCCGTGTAACACGTCCGCTGCATGTATACGATTGTGATCTGCAAATTTAATTAATTGAAAATATTATCATTTAATAGCACTATAGTTGGAAATCAATCAATGAATTGTAAAAACAAATATTATAAAATTGTTTTATCAGAAAGAAATGCTTACAAGGAATGTCCCAATACCCGCATTCCAATGAATGAAAGAAATTAAAAAATTTATTTGGTGACAACTTGAAAATCCGGAACAGACCATGTTCACGGAATATTGAATAAGCTATCTGAAACAAAAATAACAACATGAAATATTATAATTTCATGATATGAATGAATAAATTTGTATGCTTTACAAATAGATGAAAGAACAGTGAGAATTTATGATCGAATTTTATTTATTAAAAAAAAAAATCTATTCAAGTTAAAACTTCATACTTCAAACTCCTTAAATTTCATATTGTTAAAGTTATTTGCAACTTTCCAAGGCAAATTTAAAGTTTGTTAAAAAAAAAAAAAAAAAACACATACCCTGCTAAGTGTTGTTGTTGGATAACGTTCAGCAAAACGGAAAATAGGGAAGCCCCATTCGGCAATCCTAGCTAATTCATCATCTGAATTTAATTCCTTACAACTATAATTTGTACCATCTGATGTACGTATCACAGATTCCTCAATTCGTTCCAAACTGTAAAATACTTTCTGTTTTTGATACTCAAAAAAAGAAAATCTAAATTTTAAACCGTACTATCTAACTACAATTTGAAAATTTTTAAAATCAAACTTTAACATTATAGTTTCATTCCATATTATAGCAAAAAATGTGCAACAGCTCAAAGTCTCACTTCGTGAATATAAAATTTTTGATGATTAAATTAAATGCTGTAGAAATACCTAGTGCAGGCCACAATATTCACATCATCCTCACCATCCTGTGTACCTGAACTACTTTTGGAGATTTTAGTCAACACAGTGTCCTCCTTTTGCTTTCCTTGATCTATAAATGAATCCGTTCAAAAAAGTAATTATTTAAAATTAAAAAAAAAAATTTTTTTTCCTCAAGACAAAAGTAATTATTTAAATTAATGAAAATCTTAAAAGACAAAATGAAAATAATACCGCTTAATGTACTAGTATCAGTTATAGGAGTACTGGATGTTTGTGGCTGAAGGTGATGCTTATTCTCTGGATTAGTTCCACTTTTACAGCCTTCACGATCCGGTTGCTTCCAGTAGCTGTAAAATTTGATTTTGTTTATACAAAAAGATGTTTATTTTAAGACTGTATTATTAATGGTTCCAAATTTGTATTAAATCATATAAACAATTTCAATTGATTAAGAGAAGAAATTGTAGCTTTAACTTTTTCTAACTTAACTGGAACTTAACTTAAGCAAATGATTCATCCAACTAGTAAAGCTCACTAATATCAAAAAAGGAAAGTTTATTTTAGGAACAAAATATTTAAGAAACTTTTCACAAGCAGCAAAATTTCTGACTAACCTGCTTGATCGTGGCCTGGAAGGTTCAGCAGCAATTGTCGGAAGTCCGGTAGCACTTGTTACCGTTGAGAATGTGATACTTGAAAGACGTGGCTTTGAAGACTAAAAATTAACATTTGTAATTCATAAAAATGCTAAGAATCATAACTTTAATTTCTTGGCATTTTGTTTGTGTCAAAAACTTGTGAGAAAAAAAAAATTCTACCTTATTAAAAAAATATTTTCATCAAATTTCAAAAAAATCTTTTACAAATAGTTATTAAACATTAATTTGGATGGCTTTATTTTGTTGACTATAAAAATAAATAAATAAATTCGGTATGATTGTTTATTATCAACAATGGAAAAGAGTTCAAAGATTTTTCAACTACTTATTCCAAACAACGAATATTTACGGCTTGAATAGTATGAAAAAAACACAAATGGAAATTTCAGAGATGAATGACGACAATATGAGTAATTCAATTAAACGTAAATAAATATTTGAATGAATGAATTAAGAATATTTTTCCAGAATGTTTATACTATTTGGAAAAGAAAAAAAAAATGCAAATGTTATAGTTTAAAAATGAAATTCATAAATATAAAAAAATATCACATGTGAGCAATGAAAAAAATATGTTAAATTAAAAAAAAAGTCTTTTCAGAAGTGTGATTGATAATTTAGAAGTGTAACTGATGGCTTATCACTATTTTGTGATTAAAAAAGAAATCCTTGCTACACTCAGTGAAACTAACATCATGTTGGAGATAACTGTGACGGAAATCAATTTCATTTAAATATCAATTTGGATTACAGACAAATGCAATCGATGGAACACATCTGTTCTGTTGTCTAATTTGTGATACACTTTGCGCTTTTGCTTAGCAGTTCTAGCAGTTTATGAGATCTTAAGCTATCTGATAACTATTTCATGTGCTGATAAAATGGGAGCACAAAGTTCGTATTAAAAGTTTATCATTAATTAATCTAGTTCAATTACTTTCACTAATGTGAAAAATGAACTAAGAAATTGAAAGAATAAAATGGAAAAAAAAAAACCACTTGTTTTCTTGATTATTTAAACATTGATTGATATAAATGGTTGCTTGAAAAAAAAAAAAAAAGAAATGATAAGTTTAAATAAGGTCAGTATTTCAGAATATATGTATTACAGTACAAATTCTTTTTATTATACATGATAAGTGAGTTTTATTATCAACTGATGAAGTAGAATACAATCAACTCCTAAAATTCGAAAAAAAAAAAACGTTCGCGCTATAAGCAAATTATAAAGTTAAATAAAATTAATTAATTAAACTATTAATATTAAGTAAATAACTTTTTACAATGTATATGTGAAGATAATAATATCGATCTTATTATTAGATAAAACTATTACGAATAATGCATGAAGTAAATAAAATAATTAGTTGCTCAAATACCCGAAAAGAGGTATCATTCTTTGATCTATGATAGGTTATTTCCTAAATTTGAATAAAAATCCAAACGAGAAAGTTACATTTACTCTTTTCATTACATAGTATATTTAATTAATCCTTTCTTATTTTTACGAACAGCTTAGAATCCGATCACCTATCAATATTTTCTAGAAGTAACAACAAAGATTTTAAAGTTTTTTTTTTTTTTTTTGCAACTTTTAAGAATTCTTTTAAGTTATTATAGTTGTTTCAAACGATGAGATGGGAAAAAAAAATGGCGGAACTATCAAGAAAAGTTGAAAATGCAAAACTATTACATAACAATTGACTAATGATTAGTGATTAGTGATTAATGATTAATGATTAATGACGTAATCATTTCTACAATCGTTTCTGCTAGCATCACTTTCTTCATGCTACATCAATTTCTTTTTTCCGGCCTGCTAATAAATCATATCCGGCTCTAACATTCTTACATAGAAGCATTGATTCAGGCTTTGGAGTTACTTTATCCCTCCATTAAACGGGGATTAATGCATTTATTTTTCGGATTTATTATTTACAACTCATGAACATCATTGACATCAGTCCAAATTTCGGATTCCATATGTTTGTCCTCAGCAAAGTCTACTTTGTACAACTGTTCAATATTGCCCAGTGAAACTTAAAATCAATCTATCTTGGCCAAAAAAAAAAATTATTTATCAAACAAAAGATCTGAATGAATATTTTGCACAGTGATAGGACAATTTAAACTATGAAAGATGAAAAATAAGACTTTAAAAAAATCATTTTTCATATACAGAAAAACAAAAAAAGAAAAAACAAATTCTTGAACTTTTAAAAAAAAATTCAAAATTTTTTAGCTTTAAAAATAAACACTCCATGTTTTAGCTCCAATTAATTAACTAAGTAACGAAGAATGATCTAAAATCATTAAATACGTCAACTTTTGAATGATTATTTCAAATGCAATGATAATGAAGAAAACATTTAACATAGAGAAACGATCACAATGCAAGAGTGGAATTTTAGCAAGTTAGAAAATTTTTAGCAAGAAGCACTGCAAACAGAAACTATATGCAAGAAATGTTATGGCACGCAAGATGCAGGCAGAATCGTGATATGCAAGATGCAAGAAGAGTGGTGGTATGCAAAATGCACGAGGCAATCGTGATGTGCTACTGCACTCAGAGAAACTCTCTCTCAACATCTCACGATTTAAAATTAATTCGTTAAATTAAAAGCAAATTACAATTAATGAATTTGTTTTAATCACTCGCAATATATCTAACTATTTCAACATTTTAAATCCTAATCAAAAGACAGGTAAAGGGCAGAGAATGGAGATTACAAAAGAGAAATGATAAAAATTATATATATATATATCGATCTGAAAAAGTTATAGGGATGATTGCTCTCTTTCTTTTTATCATATTTTAATCCTTCTCAAAATTTCCCGTAGCTGTTGCAATGATGTCATTTCATTCCACTTAGTCCTTTAAAAATTCAATTTTTACTGTTTTAGTTTTGCTTTTTTTTTTGTCACTCATTCATTTATTGGACTTTTTTCATATATTAATATAAATATATGTATTGAATATTTGAAAAAAAGTTTTTTCAATAAACTTTTCTCTTTTATGAAAGTTAACTTTAAACAGAGCTTAATGTGTCACATTCATTTCATTTCATTTTCTCGACATTTTGTAATGAATAGAGAATGAGATAGGTGCAAATTCGCCATGAATTAATTACAGGAATGTAATGGTCAATAGTAAATGCTGTAAATAAAAGGTAAAGGTGTAATCTTTGCTTTAATACTTGTTGTTGATTTCCATTATCATAAGATAATCTCAGAAATTAAAAGAAAAAATGGATTAAAAAACTTTATATTTGGATATATAAAGAAATTCATAATAGTTTAAATTTCATATAGTTTGAAGTAAATTAATTAAAATATACTTCACTTAAATAATTTCTCATTCTATCAGCTAAAATTTAAGATATTGCATTTTAGATATTACATATCGTTCATCATTAACTAATAGTTCATATCCAAAATGGATTTATGTTGTAGTCAGAATAAAAATAAAGTAAAAGAACAGCGGAAAAAATAAACTAGAATATATCAGCCTTCAATTTCAGGTTTCATTTTTAAACACAAAAAATCTTAAATGAAATTCTAATTACTGAACTGAACTTAAGCTGTGATAGCTAGAGTTAATCCATCAATTGCTGAATTCTCTTCTCCAATATTTATATTTTCCATTTTTAAAAGTTTTGAAGCAAAAATTTCCGCGCATTAATTCAAATTCATAAGCCGTAAGCTCGAGATGCATTAGTTCATAAAATATCTCTCTTTGCGGGAGCGCTTCTACAAACGAAAATGCATTTAACTCTTTCTTACACTGTCATATCAAAAAATGGAACAGAAACAGAATAGTGATACCTAATTTTTTCAGGAAAAAATTCAGGAAAAAAACTTTTATTTGAATTAGATCAGTTGCAACTTTAGGTTTTATAAAATATGAAATATAATTCTGTCCCTCTTAGACTGCATTCTTATTTGACCGCTGTATGACCTCGCGAACTCTTTGACAAAAAGAACATTTGATTAAAAAGGCATTTTATTTATTTTCTAGCTAAATTTTTTCTTTTTTTGAAATTTCTATGAATTTTAGCTTCAGTTCTTGTAATGATTGATTTTAGTCCATTTTAGAATTTTAGCTTAAGAAAACGATAAAAAAAATAATATTCTGTGCATAGGCAATGTCATAAAGAAAAGAATAATAAAAAATATGAAAAAATAAGAAATAAAAAAATAACATCCAAAAAAAAAAAAAAAACAATATCTGAAAATAAAGACATAAAAGATGAAAACTCCAAGAATCGACTTCAAGTTTTTTCTTTTTTTTTTTGTTTTATTTTTGTTTTGGAAATTTGAACAGACCGGTGCATAAATGATGATAAGATGATCACAGCATGGACAGCAAGAACAGCGACAGCTCTGATCACAGTAGCGACATTCACCAATAAGCGGCATTTCGCTTGAAGCGCCTGATCTAGAATGCGCCAACTGACCGGGCCACGAGGAATAATAATCTACTCGTGGTGTCACCTCAGAACAACTTCGCATCATTGTTATCTTCTTGTCGTATAGATTATGTCGAGAATGATCCAATTGATTACTTTCATCCAGTGCTTCACTTCTGGTGATCCCTTTTGAGTTTGATGACATTTTTTGACTTACCGAAAGAATTTCAGGAAATTTAAGCGATAGAAGTTTTCGTCTAATTGTTTATTTCCAGCTGAGCAGTACTTAGAACTTCTTGAAATTTACAGTTGGAACTAAGTAAAATTTTATTTATTGGCTGAAAATTGAAATTCCACTTTAGAAATCATTAGTGCCCAATAACAATCAGCACAGTTGACAACAGAGAATCAGTGAAAGCCAAGTGGCGATTAAGCTTAGCAGCTTACTAATATGAATGAATATGCACGCCTAAATATCGGTGATACATTTATTGTTGAATTTCTTTCCTGAAGATGGTTAGACAGCGCTGAGGATCAAATTTAATGATAAACAAACCAAATAAAAATTATTAAACTTCATTATTCAATGTTTATATTTTTGTTGAATATTTCAAAATGAACCGAATAAAAATAGCTGTTAATATGAAAATAACAAAATAATATTACTCCATTAACGATTATATTTAAGTTAATACAATAACATTTACAATAAAGTTTTAGTCTCTTGTTTATTAAGATAGATCATAACAATCTGCAATAAATCCTGCAATATCTGTCCTTTTTATTGTCACATAAAGCTAAATTAAATTCTTAATATTATTGCTCATGGCGTTAATTACGGATAATGCAGAGGAATGATTTCAAGATAAATGAACTTATATAAGCTAACAAAATATCCTGAATAAATTCTCAGGTATGCATCCATTTTGAGCATTGAAATTGAAGTTCTCTATACATTCATAAATACATATGCATATATAGGCTATATTTGTACACAACATTTCTCAAGTAGCCAGATAAACTCCTTGTTCAAATAAATTCAAAAATATGATTGCGAGAAAGACAACTAACTATTGCAAACAGAATAATAAACTTATTATTCATCAAAAGCGCTTTAAAAATTTTCTAAAAGACATATTAGTTGAACTTCCTACACTTCAAATACCTAAGGAATTATGCCAAAAGCAATAATGTTTAGCAACAATACCTTTTTGAATAACGCTATCAAAAATGGAAAATTATTATAAAGGTAATAACATAAGTATCATTTTGCAAACAAATATCATATAGGTATTACTTTTTTTTTTTGTCATTTCATTTAAGTTATAATTGCCATGTTTTTTTTTTTTTTTCTTTTTTCTTTGCTATGTTTTCTGCACTGCAAATTGTACGTATCATTGTTGCGTGATGTAATGCAGTAGCAAATGCAATTTCAGGTAATAACAAATGAGTCTATGTGGGGAAAAAACAATAACTTAGAAAAATATATGGAAGAGCATATGTAGCAAAAGCAAAGTGACAAATAAGAACGGCAAATTATGCTTAGAAGATGAGTCTGAGATTTTTTTTTTCTTTTTTTTTGTGGTATAGAATGAAGTAAGAATTAAATGAAAGCAGAAGTTTTGAAGTTCTGACAAAAGCAACACAAGCCGACACATTCAACTTGACCAACCAGATAATGAAATGTAGGGAGAAAAGAAAGCTGAAGGAGTGAAGAGAGAAAGAAGAAAAAGTGAAAAAGGTATGTTAGGTATTCATTACCTCCAATAAATATTATTTGAATCAGTAAAGCCATAATTCACCGATAATGAGGACAATTATTGTGGCCTGCATATGCTTGTCTTGTCATGTGGTAATTTATTGATTGTTTACGTTCCAAAGAACACAAGAATAAATTATTAAGTAGATGATAGCTAATGATAATGATAATTGCTAAGTATTCTATCATTATTAATGTGACAAGTTGCTAAGCGCATACATCCTATCATTAATTTAGACAGTAGCAATAATTTGATTATTTATCACTTGATACTTATTATTATTATCATTACTATAATAAATATTATTATTATTATTGATACTTATTAATATTGCTATTATTATATATTGTTATTAGTATTGTTATTGTTATATATTGTTATTATTAATTATTGTTATTATAATAATAATAATTATTATTAAAGACACTTATTACTATTGCTATCATTATTATTATCATTATTGATATTTATTATTATTGTTATTACTATTACTATTATTAATACCATTATTATTATTGATACTTATTATCATTATTATTAGTAGCAGTAATATTGCCATTATTATTATTTTATTATTTACTATTAATTGCTATTGTTATTAATATTATTTACAGAAGATATTCAGGGTTATGCTAGCTTAGCGTTAAAGAATAGGTAAGTTCTTTTAATGATAAGAATGATAATAAAATGAGGAAGATAACAAAGAAAGCTGATAAAGTATGTTGTCTACCGGATGCGGCGTGTGTAATCTTGCTGATAATTCTTCAACATTCTTCTCATCTTTCCTCTCTGCTTTTTTTATAACTGCTCTTTCTCTTTCTTATCATCTTTTTCCACTTTTCATTTCTCATCTACTTGACTAACTCTTGATGAAATCTCGAATCTCAGTCCAGACAACTAGTGAGTGAATCATGCTAACCACAACCGACCATATCAACAGCAATATTTATTTGACTCATTTAACTTCTTTTGATTTTATCAGCTAAGATATTTAATCCATTGCATTGAGAGTCTGTGCTTACTGCAGAAATAATTTTGATAATCCGATTTCTTCACTAAGCTGATACTTCCAGAATGGAAATCCGGCCAAGCAGAAGGACTGATATTTCGGGAAAGTGGTCTTTAAGAGTATAAAATCTCAATAAATCCTCCTAAACAGTTCATTGCAAGAGTTAAACAGTGCGGGGCGCAAGATAGATATTTGTTTCAGAGGTTTTTAGCAGTGGTTGTAGAGCAGCGAGTATCTTCAATGAGTGCTTTAGAATAAGTATAGTAGTTTGATATTTTATTGCTAACTTGAAGAGGTGATAAGGGAACGAGAGGATACTTTTATTGATCCTAACCAATTTGACAGATCCATAATAAATTGTTTTGATCATAACGGTTGACCTCTCCTTTTCTCCTTTTCCGCGGATTTATTTTCTGAATCTGTATAAAGAATAAGATTTCTTTATGTAAGAGAAAAGGTAAACTATAATAAATAGGTCACTTACATATTCAATGAGAAAAATGACCAATTTTATTCATTTGCAAAAATTATTTATTTTTAAGGTCAACATTTTACATCCTTCTTAGCAACAAGTTAAAAGTTTCTAAGAAATTTCTTTCTGTAAAGTCAATAATAAAACAATTTAAATAGTCATTTATGACTTATCCAATAAGATTCCTGGACTTTTTATCATTTGAGAATAGTTAAGTTGAGACAAAGGAAATTGAAAGAAACAACAAACATGAAAATATACTCTAATAATTGTAACAAGTTATTGCAATCTTTAATATTTCCTCCTTTAATCTCTCTTTTTCATTCCTTTTTACATTCCCATCTACCAAATGAATTTAAACAAGGACCATATTTCGGAAGTCCAATAATTCATTAATGTGAAATCCTTAATGAGTGCATTTCCATTACTCAATCGTTTAATTTAATCCAGCAGATAATTTTCCTCTTCTCTCCCCACTTATTAATAATGTCCAACCCGTTATTACCTGATCACACAATCCTTTCCAACCGCGAAATACAACACGGTATACAGCAAAGTTCCGCGTGAATAGTTTTATAAAGAGAGTTTTTCTCTTTTTTTTGTTTAAATTTATGTGCTCAAATGACTGCATGAGAATATCCCTTCATCATTGCACGATTTCAAAATTGAAGAAAAAAATGTAAGTGATATTAGTTAGAAATGTAAAATTATTCGTGAATGCAGTACTGCACATTCAGTTTTATATTAATTTATATGCTAAAATGATTGCAAAAGAAAAGAATAAAAAAAAAAAAAAAAAAAAAAAAAATGATTGTCATAAATTATTTTTTCATGAGGTGACACATTATTATCTTCCTGTATGTCTCATTTCCATTTCCATTCTATGAAATTAATTGATTCATTTATTTTAATGGATACAAATATATATGCCATTTTATTATTTCCTATCTCAATGATATGTCATCTAAAATTTTTGGTTAGTTTACAATTCCAATCTGATAATGCAACAAAAAATTTTAATTATTATATGACCACATAAATATATACATGTAACAGTGTGCATCCATCTAAGATACAACATTTTTAATTTATCATTTTTCCTAGTGAACGATGACTTTAATGAATTGTGCTAATAAGAAGAAATAGCTTAGAATTACAATGAGGTTGGCTGTTGAAAAAAAAAAAACAAAGAATTATAAGTTGAAGAAATAAGCGAAGTGAAAAATGACTTTTGATATAAGTATTCGATGTAAGTATACGTAACATACAAGTATTCCATTACATAGCAGTTCCGTAAATTTAAATTTTGTATTTTCAAAAAATTAAAAATGATTAAGAGACTAGCCACCGTCATAATCATTACTAACACAGTTGAAATCAAGGATCATCATTACACTTAGTTAAATTTTGTTCACTGCGTAAGTTATTACAAGTTATTGCAGTTAATGGTGCCAGAACGCTTTCTTTAATAACCTGATACAACATGTAAAAATTATAAAGTTATTAATCGATGAATGATAGATATGAAAATGAATTCTTACATAGCGAAAGATATTTTAGATTACAAAACTATACCGTAATAGTCAAATTAAATTAAAAATCATAGTAAACTTATACAATTTTCCTACAATTATATAAAAAAGTTATGAAAGTCAAGTGAGAAGTTCATGAATTCGAAAGTATATGTAAATTTAGACAAAACTCATCATTGTCGCATATCTCTTTTCAAACATTTTCAAGGACACACAGCGACACAGAAGATTAATTGGAAATTGGAAATCTTTGCTGCATCCCTTGCATACAATGAGTGTGTGTTATTCCAGTAAGATAAGAAGATTAGTGGTAGAAGTAAGTAATTGGAGATAATAAGTATAGAATGGAGTTGAAAAATTGAAATAAATAACTGAAGATAAAAGTATAGAGAGAAAAATATACTTTTGAATATGTGCTTCAGAGAGTGTTTCGCAGAATTAATAAAATTTAAATGTTAATCGACAAAAATTTGTGTGAATATAAATATGATGAGTTAAGCAGTTAAACATAGAATAAAATAGTAACAGTGAAAAAAAAAAAAAACACTTTGAATATGTTTGATAATGTTTGAGTCTTTCTTTCCGTCTAGCATATATTAAAAGTAAATACTTTGACCTCTGCCATATAAAAATAAATGATTCAATTGTTGATATTATGAGTCTCAGTCGAAAGAATCGTATTTAATCATATTTTGCTTACCAGAAGTGTACTGTACTGCATGTTAATTAATCAACAAACCTTTTTCTGTCTTAGTATATTTTCAAAAATAATATTTGACCAGCTCTATTATTCAAAACATTATGGGAGAAAAGAAAATGTAAAAGACTAGTAAATTGATCTATCTGATCGGACAACCGATGATACTTAATGCTACCAGAGCCATGCAAAATCGGAATTAGTTAATATGTCGATTGTAATTATTAATAATAAGTTCCGATGAAAGGGAGAACAAAACAACGAAATCAAATAATCATTCTAAAATTTGAATAAACTTTGAATAATTTTTTGAAGAAAAGCCTACTCTTAAAAGAATTGTGAATTTTAAAATGGTGTAGCAAGTACTATAAGATAGTTTATCCATTTGTCAGAAAATGAAAATTATTATCCTAGTAAATTATTATCTAGTTTAGCAAAATCTGTTCAGATTTCAATGCAGCTATACGGATGTTTACTTGCCGTTGAAGTTTATAAACACAGAAGTAAATTGCAGTTCTTAACTTAATGACGTAAGCAAAACAACAAGTAAGGAATGAGTGTATGAATTCATTCGATATTCTCTCACCAACTATAACTTCATTTTCTTTTTTCCTTCACAACAGAAAATGAAAACCACACAAAGCATATCTTTAGAAGAAAAAAGACAATTATTTCAAGGGAAAGTTTCCATGATGTGATTTTAATTGAAATGAGAAAATAAAAAAAAAAAGAAAGAAGAAAAGCTGAAAAAAAATAGAATAAAAAGTAAAAATAAAAAATAGAAAAGAAAAAATCGAAATTGAGTAAAAATGAAAATGAAAAAAAAAAAGCGAGATAAAAAAAGAGATCACATTTACCATTGTGAATTTTGATCTATTTTTGAATCTTTCACCAAAATATTTTACGAAAAGAAATATAAGAATAATAGCAAAAATGAATTTATCCAGTGTCAAAATTTTTTAAATTATAGATAAACGATTCATTATCTTAATATGATTAATTAAGAAATGTGATTAGTTACTGATATTTTTAAAGTTCGTAATCTAAAATATAATTTATTTTGCACAGGTTTGTCTTTTAGAATATAACAACACTTTTTTTTCACAATTGAAAATGAAAGATTTGCAAAATTTATAATTTAAAAAAAAATTGGAAAATGATATTCAAATTTTTTAAGGGGAATAGAGTGCTGGGCTTATGAATTAAGAAGTAATACAAAATTTAGCTATTGCTAAAAAGAAAGTGTGCAATTTACCAAATATCTAAGATGACCTCTTGCATATCAAATTTTTAAATCCCTTGAAAATAGTCCTCTTCAGGAATAACTAACCGTAGCAACGAGAAGTTGTTCACCACTGTATGGATTTTCTACAACCATTGGAAGACCAAAATCAAAATGCAAATTGATCGATGGCTGTAAAATTATAATGTTAACAAATGCTACAATCAATAAGAAACAACAAAACTTCGTTTCTCGTCATTTCTCGTCAAAAATTTCATTTTTTTTTTTTTTTTTTTGGAAGTTGTGGAGATGGTATCTACCAGCAAATGCATATGCAAATCGAAGTTTTGTACAGATAGCTATGTGCATAAATGTAAAAGAATATGAATAAATTATGCTTTGTTTCCATTTGAGTAGATGACCTATGAACTATGAACTATTGTTGTAAGAATTTAGGGGAGGTAAGAATTTAGGGGAAAAAGTAAAATTTAAAAAAAAATAAAAATTGCGCAACTGTTATTGTATGCAGAGATAAGCTCAGCTAAGATATTCAATGAAATGACAAAGAGAAATGTTGAAAAATTCAGGATAAATGGCATTTTTATAAGGCATACGTAAAACGGTTAATTGGCCTATATTTCCTGTTTTTATTACGATTTTAGTAGAAATTTAAAAATTTTTCAATACAAAAAACTTTGGAAGTTTGAAATAAAAGACAAACTGGTTGAGGATTTAGCAAAGTGGCTACTGCTTTCAAGCCTGAAATAACCATTGGCGGTAAATCCTTATTAGCTAGCATTTCTGCTATAAGTCCACGAGCTTCTATCAGGTTACTTTGCAACTGAAAAAAAAAAATTTAAATAGAATTTCACCAATTTTGCTTGTTTTTAATTTCAAGAATGTAAATATGATATATAATGTCAAATGACTGAATAGTAAGTTATTAATAAAGAAAATATAAATTATTAGCAAATACTTTCACATTTTACTGTCACTTATTTCAAGTATTCTATTTGTGATATGTTATTATAAAAGTCATCAAAAAGATATTTCAGGATAAGAAATGAAAAGTCAAAAAGTTTTAATATATTGTGTTACTTGTTTACTATTACTAATACTTATCACAATCACACCATTATGAGAAAGTAAAAGAAGATTTCAAAGTATCTCTATTTAAAATAAAAATAAAAGAGTAAACTGTGCAGAATAAATTTACATTCAATATTTTAAATTATTATTTTTCTTTTCTTGCAAAGAATTTATTTCATTATTATACCAATTCCTTAATAAAATGGTTAAACTAGCTAAATTAAAAATAAAATAACCAATCTATGAATTATTTTATAAATTTTTGCAATTTCTAATTTGAAATTAATGCTCTCATGTAATAGCCATGCATAATAAATTGACAGTCCTTATATTTCTCGACGAAAGTTTCATTTCAAAAGTTCCCTTGATTCATTGTGACCAAAATTTTGAAATTCAATAATCCATTTATTTTCATTAAAAGATTTTAATGGTTTTACAAATTTTATTAAGTGAAATTCAATTTCAAAGTAATGTGTTTAACATGCAAAGACGACAAAATTGTTTCTTTTTCTCATTACAAAAGTTTTTTTGCATATTAAATAAATTTCAGATATTAATCGTAAACATAAAAATTGTTACTAAAATTAACATTAACTTTTTAAAGGATATCTAATTGATTATTAAGAAGGCATGATAAATAATTGTGTTTGCTATGATAAGCAGAAAATTCAATGATAATAAGAGAATGTTCAAATTTATTGTAACTTACAGCAGCTCTGCTTGAAGCGAAAGCATTCGGACTGACCGGAAGAGAGGTTCGCCTCTGGCGCAAATTGCTTGTTTTCTCTAGGTCACTGTCGGCGATGGCGGCCAGCCTGTTGAATGCTGATGAACCAATTAAACCTGTTTGTAATTCAAATTGTACTGAAATGAAGTACCGCATTAGTTTTTATCCTATAAATGTTTGTTGACATTAATGAATATCGAAGTTAAACAAAATTTGACTTCTTCATTTTACACATTTAAATCAGACGTATTTTAATTGATTAATCATGTATGATTACAAATTAAATGATTGATTAATTCATACATTATTCAATTGCTTCACATCCTTAATCGCTTGAATTTTAATCAACTCACTGAGACAATAATTAATAAATCAATAATAAAATGTAGGCTGAAAATTTTAAATGAAATTTGTTTACTGCAAAATATTGCACATTTAAACAAATCTTTTTAAATGATACATCTAAAAAAGGCAGCAAAAACGAAAGGCGAATGTTTTGAGATTGAATAATTTTGCACTTAAAATGTCACTAAATCATACAGATCTACTAAGCTTACCTATATCAATACATCACATTACATTATTCTTAAAAGTTCTAAAAAATAATCATGAAAATACAGATAGGCATGAATCATGTAATGAAAATAAATAAACCTGTCGGTATAGTAGACTGACCGAATGATACTCGGGTACAGGTGGTGGATATATTAGTTGGTGATAGATTGCCACTTCCGTCTGCTAACCGCCGATTTCGACGAGTTTCCTAAAAAATTTATAATTAGAATTTTCGATACATGATAATAAATTAACCTGTTGTCACAATTGTTTTTTAATTGTTGACCTATGACTATGACAGTTTGAAAATCTTAGAAAAGAAATTATTTCGGAGAATAGCAATGAATTAATCAATAAAAGTCATATTAAATATGCATTTTGTGTCGAAAGTTTTAACTTACCAGCAAGGTTGAATAAATTTAGTCTGGAAAAAAAGCCTAATTGGAACAGCCATTTAATAAATCAATAGCTAATTTATTAAAAATGCTAAACAAAACAGAAGGATAATAATTCTGGATAACTTTTTATATTTACTTTAAGTATTGTCTTTTCAGGTAGTTTGAAGTATTTTAATGATTGATTTGTTTTATATATATATATATATATATATGTATTTCTAATGCTTTTATTCTTACTGATTTTTACTCTAGGTCAATTGATTTAAAAAATCCTTTATTTTTAGTTAAAGTCAAAAAAAAAAGAATTTAAGTCTATCTTTTGTTCAGTTTTTTCGATAAACATTCACGCTATTATTGAATTTGTAAGTTTAATTTAAAAAAAAAGAATAAATTGTAGGATGGATGCTCTGTTCCAGATACGATAAGTCTGAAGTGTATAAAACATAGCAAAACTTTTTCTACTTTATACCTGGTTATTATGCAGATCGATAGCTACAGGTGATATCTTAAATGAATTAACTCTTTCTCAATAAGTGGCGATTTTTGCTATAAACATTGCAGGTGCCTTCTTAATACTTCATTTCCTGAGATAACCAAGAATAGATTGAAACTTTAATTAGACAGAGTTAAAATTAAAGGATTCATACTTTTTGTGACTAATTCAAAAGTAGGAATATGTCTAAAATAACACTTTATTTATAATTTTTCATTATTTTGCTTCTTGTTGTTGCAATAAAGTCTATAAACTTACATAAATCCAAAAGTTTGTTTAGCTCATATTTCTATTATTATTATAATTTCAATGAATCACACAGTTAAAGTAAGGTATCGGTAATTGTTTATTTACAATTTCCTACTGTTAAACAAGGAGACTGATTTAAACTAATTAATTGTAAAGAAATAAAATAAAAGGTTCATTTGAAAATAATTTAAGTGTTTTTCTCACTCAACAAAATTCTGCCGAATTGTTGTTCCATTTAACATTTTTATTCCTATCTTAATGCACTGACGTCAATTTTGAATTTGAATTACAAAGGTAGCACAGTGGTGCATGTCTGTGTCTGCCAATTTATTTGTTTATTTATTTCTTATTTCTTGCAAATGTTTATGTATGTTAATGCATGTTTGCATCGTCTGTCAGTTATATAAATGTATGTATGTATGTGGTTTATGTCTGTTTATTTTTCATTCTATATTTGCGAGGAAATAATAGATAAAAGTGGGAGTGTCGAAAGAGAAAGAAAGGAAGAAGAAATGTTCCATTTCATTGATGGCCTTAATTTATCGACATATTTAACTGAATTTCAAAAATTTTTCTGTTATTTTATGCAAGAGAGTGATTCAGAAGCATCATGGCATGTAATTTGTTGCGCAAATGTCCATAGTGAGCATTTGTATAAAAGCGAGAACTATTAACGATCAAGCAAAGAATTTTGAAAAATTTTTTCCAATCAGCGTTCGATACTGATGGAACTTTGTTCAGAACTCTAATTCAATTTTTCGTAGCTAAGATTACTTTTGTTTGGTATAAGGCCATGTTTTGTTAGTAGCAAGTAAAAATAATAGAAATTGACATGTAGCCAGGACAAAAAAGTAATTTTCAACTGATTTTGCTGGGAATGAAACCAGAATTTTCTATATAATGAAGAAAAGAAGAAAGAAAGGATTAAGCATGAAAAGTAAAGCTGAAAAAAAAAGAACATCTGTAAGCCTTTTCCTAAATTTATGATTGTTATCATAAATAAAGTGGCAATTGCTAGGCCTAAAGTACTAAATAGCCAGTCTTTGTTATCATAAATAAAGTGGCAATTGCTAGGCCTAAAGTACTAAATAGCCAGTCTTTGTTATCATAAATAAAGTGGCAATTGCTAGGTCTAAAGTACTAAATAGCCAGCTTTTTTTGCATATTTTTATAAAATTAAATCGATCAGAGTGAAATGATACGGCGAACCACTAAGAATGCTGACTATTCGGCTGATCAAATCTATTAGTTTGGATTGTTTATTGAAGAGTTCATTGCATATTTCATTATCACTAACTATCTTCAGTATTACTTAATTATTTTCATTCCACTAATTTCATCATTTGTGTGTCACAGCAAAAAGAATAGTAAATCCTTACAGCTTATCACATGTCATCCATCTGGCGCAAAAGTTCACTAGCTATATATTTTCTATTTTTAGAGTAAAGATTTTAAACGATTTCCTAGTCTGAAAACGAATGAAGTGATTTCTTTTAATTAATTAGCTTATTCTAAACTTATTATGAAAATACATTTAATAAGGAAAAAAAAATTAGATGGCATGAAAGGTAAAAAGGAACTAATAGATATATCATCAAATTAATTATTTGAAACAAATTAGAGACAAATAAGTATGAATTAATGAATAGAAAGAGAAAGTCTTTGTTGACAAATATCCACCAAAGTAATTATTGTCCTCAAAAGAAGGCAATAAGATAAACGTTATCATTATCATTATTATCATTATCATTACTATCTTCTTATCATCATTATTCTTATAACTGTGACTTTTTTTCATCATTATTTAAAAAAAGTTGGGATTTCCATTAAAATTCCTTCAGGAATTCGTTAGTTTTTTCAATCTTTTCTCGGTGATGCAGTAGTTATAATCAAACCTAAAGCCACTAAATCGCTTTAACTGGTTAAAAAAAAAAAAAGAATGAAATGTACAAAAATTTCAAAATTTATTAGGTAGAAAGTTCCTCAAATCTAATCTATATTTTTTCGAATTTCTTTTAGCGGTAAAAATTTGCAAAAAACCAACTACTCATTTAACTGCATTTTTTTTTTTTTTTGAAATGTTAAAGTTTTCTGTGCAGATTGTTTTAAACTGTGAAACTGTGAAATGAACGAGGTGCTACCAATAAATTTTAAATAAAAGTTTCAGCCAAATTGGTTTATTGGAGTTAAATTAATAATTTAAGTATATGTCTATAATCTGAAATAATATCATTAATAGTAAATGTCATATCATATCATATCACTTCACCTTCAAAAAGCACAGATTTGATTTAAATATGCTTCAATTTTTTTAATGCTTATTCTTTTGATCGATGCTTTATCGACTGATAATAATATTAAGAAAATTTTATTGACATATTTCTTTTTATAAATAATTTCCACTTTAATAGAACATAACAAATAACTAAAATAGTTTCCCCAGTAATAAAATATTTAGAAAATAATTTTTTCAATTCTTTTTAAACAAAATATATTGATTAATAAATCGTTAAAAAAAAAATAAAAATAAAAAAGGAATAAGTGAAATGTTTATTTGAAAATGGTATCATCCATGCATTGTTGCCTTTTTTGCGAAGGGAATTTTATTTATTTCATTGATTGTCTAATATTATAATAAAGGAAATAATTTATTACTAAAAATCTAATTAGTCTCATATTTGCTTCAAAATAAACTTACGTTTTTCGTTTTTTTCATTTTTTTTTAAAGTGCAACAATTTTGAACTAACAAAACATATTGTCAAATTTTTTATTTCATTTCATCTTTTCATCTACCTCACCTCATTTTAGAAAAAACATTTTTAAAAAGACAAAACAAAGGAATTTTGAAATTTTTAATCTAGAAAAAGTGAAATTTAACTTAAGTAGGATTATTTGAAATTATATAATTTAGTTTTATTCCTATGATATTGCTTTGTATTTTGTATTTTAGAAAAAAAAAAATGAGTGTAAATAAAAATAAAAAGTACGACGAACAATCTAACAATGACAAATGAATAATGACCTTAAATTTTTGAGCGCAGTCAGTAACACATATTCTATGCCATTTTTTTTTTTTTCTTATCGGATTTTCTTTTTATTTATTTCATAAAGTTAAAAGTTAGAGAATTTAAATTTTGGAGAGAGTTCGAATTGAAATGCAAAAAAATTCAAATTCTTATCTGTAAATTAAATTAATGAATACAATAAACGGAAATGAAAAAGTATAACAATTTTTCAAATGCCATCAGATTCATTAAAAATATAATTCCAGAAAAAATTTGCCCAATTTTGTCCACTTTATGCTTCAAAATTTGCCCTACTTTATATTAAAGAAAATAATGGGTAAGTTGTGGGTAAAGTTGGAATAAAAAAATTTTTGTTTTTTTGGACAATCAATTATTGTCTAATTAGTAGTTATTTTTCATCGCTTATTCCAAAGCTTCTAGCTTCTATAATCGTAACTTTTTTATGTTTCGTTTTAAATTGAAAAAAAAAAAAATAGTAATGACTTAATAGAAGGATGGAAATGGTAGTATAGCCGAATTACTTATCATAAAAGCATTCGTGAATATAATGGCAAAGTTTTAAATTCAGGATGAATTCAGGATGGGAAACAAAATTACTTTTTGATCTGCGATGCATCAATATGTCATTTTGGTTAGATTTTGAGGTGAAAACGATAATTAAATAATAACTTATTTAGTGTTTTTAAATTAAAAAAAAATCTTTTATGAGTAAAGTTTGAATTACTCAATGTATTTGTGTAAATTAAATGTAAAAAAAATTTTCATTTCTAATTTTTATTGCTATACAACATGCATTAAAAATAAAAATTGTTCAAATGTAGAATAATTTTTTTTTTTCTTTTTTTAATCCGACTAAAAAAAAATAAATTCTTCAAAAAAATTGAGGGAAGCATCATTTTCAGTATCATTCATTGAACTGCGAACAGCAATAGTTGATGGATTAAATGTAATCATCGTTATAGCAAATTCTCTTTAAGCAATCCTCAACACATTTTTGAATTTATTTGCAAAATGCGAAAGTGCTCGATCATTTTAATTTATAATTTTCTAACTTTTTGCAGCATACTAAATTGCTAATTCTTATAAAATGAATGGTCGAACTAGGATACAAATTATTTCACATAAAATTAAGTGATAATTGAGAATGGTTGATAATAGCAATAAATTATCATAAAGAAACCAAATTTCAAATGAAATAATTTTCATAGACAAAAATATAATTTAGTCGTATAAAAATAATTTTACTAATAAATTTCGTGAAAAAAAAAGGCAAACTTGAACTTTTTCGCTTATTTTAAGAGTATGCAAAATTTTGACTGAAAGATTTATTTATAAATGAAAAAAATTTTTTTTTCATTAAAAATTATATTAAGTGGAATATAGTTTGCTAACTTTTTTTTTTTAGAAAAATAACTTACGAGTAGTTTAGATGAACTATCTTTGAGAATTGAATGTGGCATCAAATGTTTCTGATTTTGATGTGGAGGCAAAGTTTGACTGAATTGATCAACCGGAGGATCTGGATGCAATGAAAAAGTTGAATTTATATTTGAATCATCGGTATTACATTTTCCGGATTTATGCCTTGTACGACTGCTTGTTGATTCACCACGAATGCAGGATGTTAGAAAATGCAGTTTGAAGCAAATTTTCGTCAGAATTTAATTTTCCGGACAATAGTGACCAGATTATGAGTGTTCGTTTTTTTTTTTTTTATGAGATTATGAAAAATCTGAAATTCATAATTGTGTCAAAGAAAAAAAAAATGGAACAACTAAATTTTTGATGACACTACATACAGCTAATCATTGCTACTTTCATATATATATAACAAATACTAACACATTTAATTTTAATTCAAATCACTTTTTCATATCCTCATACTTGTTATTGATTATTGAATAAAGTTTTTTTTTTTTTTTTGATTTCTTTTTGGGTATTTACTTCATTTATTTATTTTTTTAATCATAATTTTGTCATGAATAAAAAATTGGAGTGGAATTAATTGTGGTTAATCCTTAAATTTTGAATTAAAATATTTGAAAATAACAGGGAAAAAAAAAAGAAAAAGAAAAACTAAATAAATCGAAGTAGCACGATGACGTCGTCCAACAAATATTTCACAAAACTAAAGGAAGGATTGATGGATAAATGTGTTCTGTTGACTTCGCAGCAGATGTTCGCACTTTACTTATATACTTTAGCTTTAGATACTAACTAATAAATTTGACTATTATATTATCAATACTTTAGATTCATGCAAAAGTTCCATTTTACTTTCAACCATTTTCATAAACCAAAAAAAAAAAAAAAAAAGAAAAAGAAAGAAAAGAAAAATCAATGTATAATTTTAAAAAAAGAAATATTTATGAAGAATTAGTTGAAAATTATAACTTTGAGATTATAGCTAACCAATGAAAATTATCTGCGAGAAATGACGAACGATTGATTATTTCACTAACCAACTGTTTAGCTTCAATTTACACTAAAACTTGGAAATATGCTTTAGTTTAGTAATCAGTGCTGTCAATGTTATTATTTTGGTGATAAATGCTAACTTATCATCTGATAATAGCTTATCTTAGTTAATGCTAATGATTATCTTATCAATCTTTTATGGTTCACTTTTCATGCGCAAATTTTATTCTATGAAATGAAATGGATGACATTCCATTTATTAATTATTATCAATACACATTTTTATTTTTTATTCACGATCAATGTCTATTAGTGAGATTACTATTATTATTATTATTATTATTATTGAAGTTCAGGAGAATATGTACTTTACATCGTCACTTTGCGCATTCTGTTAATTAAATATCTTTAATTAAATGTGCTACATTATGGATAGAAGCTAATGGCTTGCACAAAATGAATACTTTAATAGTAAAGTAAAAGAATATATTAAATAGGTTTTTTGTGCTATGTTCCTACTTCCACTAGGAATTCGATTTGATTCTATTAAGACTATGGTACAAAAAGTTTTTGAATTCAAAAAATATTCAAAAAACAAATGTCTTAAAAAGTCAGTAGGCTATTTTTATTGTTATATTATGGTGATAAAATCTAACTTCTCATTTCCATATTTTAAATACCACAAAAATTTTCTTTTTTTATTTGCTAAAAAACTTTTCAAAATTAGAACAGCATAATCAATGCAGTGCAATTCAGAAATATCTTTTTTTTTTTTAATAGAACTAGTTTTTAAATATTTCGGGAATAAAAGTTAATATATAACTTTTTAAGAAATTTGATTTTTACATGAAAAAAATAAATATAGCAGTATTGGAAGTTCAAAATATTGGAACAGAATTCCGGTATTACTGAACGCAACATAATTTCAGGAAGTTTAATGGAAAGAATTCTCCTCTCATAATTTTTTTCTTTTTTTTCATTCTTCTATTTGAATATTTTGGAAGATTGTTTATTGGCTCTTAGCCTTTCAGTTATACCATTTTTAATTTCATTACCTTTTCTCAATATTATCCTAAAAAAGAAATATGGCAAATGTTTCTTTGTTTAGAGTTAAAAAAATTTTCAACTAAATATAAAATGAAATGATGAAGAGAGTTATTGAGTAAATTGCAAGCCATGAAAGTAAACGAAGCTAAGTCAACAACTTTGACATCATTCCATGGCTGATTGAAATGTTTCCCAGATTTTTTAAATAGGATGAGTTTAGTGACTCAGTGTCAGATGACTAAAAGTATTTATAAAAAAAAAAAACGGTGCAAAGAATACATTTTAATAGCAGCTGCTATCTTTACTTTACTTCCTGATTCAAAGTATTTCGATCATTTTTGGAATAGCAACAATACACAATAATCAATCCAAATAAGAAGTAAGAGCAAATTTTGAACTAAAAAAAAAAAAATTATTCTTTCCAAAAAAATTTGAGAACTTTATGAATTTTTTTTTTTTTTTTGTTATATTTGAGGAGAAACAACTGATACATATCACTTTTTTTTTTTTTTTTTTTCTTCTTGGCACCTTTCTTCCAAATAGTCAATTTTGAAATGAAAACAGACAGATAAATCTTGACGTAAACTTGATGAAGATCGAAAAGCAATTTGTAGTTTCAACTTTTCTGCACCTTTTACAAAGATTTGATAAAATTTTTGAGGCTTTTTTTTTTCTTTTTGCCTTTCTTGTTTGTTTTTCAATCAAAATAAAAATGAAGGAATATTTATTTAATTTTTATTATGTTTAGATAAATGAATATTAAGCAATTTGACCAACTTTTCAGCTATTTCAAAATTTATTATCAATCATGCAAGACATATTTATTTCAATTGGCAATGATCTCTGGTACAATATAAAATGTTTATTAATAGCACTAAAAATTATTTGATAAAGTGGAATTTTCTAAAAATAGAGATTAGTTATCATAAAATGTTATAATCGAAGAATAAATTGCATCTTTAGATTCGTTTTACATGCTGTAAAACCTCATTTGATGATATAATTGCAAAGAAGGAAAAAATTTTTCTTCTTCAATTTTATTTAATTAAAAGCTTCATTTACGTATGCATATAATTACCGCTTAAATATAAATGAAAAAAAAAAAAGAAACGAAAAAGATAATTTATAAAAAAATAATGTTTAAAAATAAAATTACTACTGAGGAATTGCTTGTTCAATTAAAATATAATTTTATTGGTAGGATAAATTTCGTTGTTTTTTTTTTTACTGATCATCTCAAAAAAAAAAAAAAACTTTATTAGTTTCTTAATTTTAAGCACTTTTTTTCAAAACAGTAGTAATTCTTCAGCTTAAATAGAGAAAAAAACTTATTTGTTATCTTTTTTTTCCTTCAATTTCTTTTGTTCTCACTGAAAATGCCACTTTAGCTAACTTTCGATTTCTCATCAATTTCATAAGATGACATTCTCTTTTTTAATGACATTTGATTTCCCATTAAAGAAATTTAATCTCTCTCTCTCTCTCCCCCCAAAAAAAGATGACTTAATCAATTATAATGAGCGAGAAATGGTGCAAAATTCAAAATTGTTTGTCACGAAGTTTTATGTTTGTTAAAATGATAAGAGATAAGGGACAAAGATCAATGTGATATAGTATCAACATGAAAGAATGTACAATAAAACAATGGAAGAGATTAAAACAAGAAAAAATGTTGCAATTTGATAAAGGGAAAGAAGTGATAGTGTAAAAATTTATGTTTGATATTCAACTCAAATTTGGAATGAGTAATTAGCACAAAAAAAAAGCTTTGAAAAAAAATAAAAAGTAGAAGGTCAAAGTACAACTGGCATTTATCCAAACTAGTTGTGTTATAGTGAAAAAAAAAAAAAAAATGTTATTAATTGTTTGAATAATATATTAGGGATTTTTGAATGATATGAATTTTCTCAAGAAATAAAAAATTAGACGAAAAAAGATTGACAATGAATGAAAAGTTTTTGGGAAATGTCAGAATGAAAGCAATCGGATATGAAAGTATTCAAATATCAATGAATAATATTTAGAGAAGTTTCAACGCGAATTGAATTCAAAGATATTTGTTTTCAAAAGATTTTTCATCAAGAAAGAAAAGATACACTTTTAAAAAATTTAACTTAAGTTTTTTTTTTTCGAATATCAAAAAATGTTGCACAGGTAATAGAAGGAAGCAAATTATACCTTAAAAAAACTTTGATTTATAAAGATACAATCTTGTAGCAATCTAATCATTTTATCTGATCTGTGAAAATTTAGGAATAAAAATGTTCACTTACTTATATTTCTAATATTCGTTTCTTTTTCATTTTGAGATATTGAAATTTACCAAAACAAATATTTTGTAAATTACAACTAATAACTCATTTACCCATCAGAATATAAGAAATTTTTCCAAATGCCATTTTACTACTGGAACAAATATCGCACAAAACAGATGGTTTCTGATTAGTAAACGATTGTCATTGGACTGAACGGCTCAGATGGTGAAAGAGTAATATAAATTTTGAAATTAAACTTAATGGAATAAAATTCCCAGCTGACATAGAGGAAAATTTTTGTATGATTCAGCTACGATTTACTTATTATGTTCAAAATGCTGAATTCAAATGTTTCAAATGCTTATTCATAATAAAATGTGATGAACACATAAAAAAGAATGCATTTATCGGTGTGACATTCATTGATGATATTAATATTTCACAGAGAAACCTCTCTCTCTCTCTCTCTCTCTCTCTCTCAGTAAAGGCTTAGAATTGTCAAAAAGTCGAATGATTGGTGATATGTTTGACATAGCATATACAAAAGGAATAAATTTATTGAGGATGTAGAAATTATGCTTAGAAGGAAATGAAATGAAATGAAATGAAATATGGATGCAAAAGTCTTTTCTGAATGAGTGTGCTGGAATGAATAGCAAATGAGTATGATAAATGAGGAATGAAAGCAACTATATTCATTCTTCATGAAATATCTATTCAAAATTTTCAACTTTCTTAAT